ATACCAATGGTCAGAAAAGCCCCCGCGACTTGCTCGTGTATATGCCAAATGTGTTTGGGCCCGTTAGTTTTTTTTTTTTTTTTTTTGACTGTGCAAATGTAAAACCAAAAGGTGCTCAATAAAAATTGAAATCCAAATTTAGAAACAACATTTGAAGAAAAAAAAACGGGCATCTGCCTATAGGCCAGATAGGCTTCTGTTAAAGGAAAAAAAATTATATATTTTTTCATTACATGTTCACACAAACAAACATATGACCTTTATTGGTTATAAATACAAGCTAAAAATACACTAGGGTCCTAGGGTCAAAATCCGAGCCAACAAAAAAGAAAAGAAAAAATCTTTGCAATTATCACTCACACACACACAACCATCAATTGAAATCCAATGATTGTCCTGTTCGTATTTTTCAACATATACATTATTTTCTTCAATGACCAGCAGATGATGAATACCAAAAAATAATAAAAATAAAAAGATGAAATTAAAATTCAAACCAAAAAAAAAGAAAGAAAAAAATTAAAACTTTTATGCACCGGAATAGGTCAAATGGTCAATCAATTTTGACCAAACTAACTAAAAAACGAAAAATTTAAAAATTTAAAGCTTAATACTATCGATACTAGATGGAGTTAGTGAATGATTGAAAAAATACAGAATCTTGAATTTTTTTTTTTTTGATTGTTGGTTTGTGGCATAAGAGAGCCGGTTTTTTTTGTTTGTTATTGTGTGTGTGGTGTAATATGTTCTCAATATTTTGTTTTGTTTCAATTTGTTTTGTTTTTGTTGTCAAGTGGCGTTAGTGAGCCGATGAAAACAACGATTCCGAACTTTTTTTCACAGCATTAAAACACACACACATCATAATTGTGATGTTGATGATTCATTTCGTTTTGATTGATGAAATGATGAAAATATAGGATTTTCAGTTACAGTGTTCGAATGCTAACCAGAATTTCAAAATACCGTTTTTTACTTTATTCATTTCACATTGTGTGTGTGTGTGTGTGTGCGATATATGTGATGTATTTAAATTGAAAATTCAGGCAACGATTCTTATTTATGTGTGTTTTGAAATTGTCATTTTCAAAATTATTCCATTTCATTCAACAATTATCGTTTACTCGCTTTTTTTGTTTTGTTTTTGTTTTATTTTGATCATCCAATGAAATTCGAACAGACAGAAATGAATGGGAAAAAAACAACAACAACAACAACCTTTTTTCTTTGAAATAATAATGATAATTTTTGTTATCGAAATGTAAATCAAATGATCAAATTTATATCAATTTTTGTTTGTTTGTTTTGTTTACGTATTGAGGAAGAAGGGGTTTCGATGGTGATTGATAAAATATTGATCAATAAAAACAACAACAAGTTAAACAAATTGAAGCACTCATATTAACCAAAGATAAAATTCTGATCATATCGATACCTAATAAGAAGATGATCCACTTTTAATTGATTTTTTGTGAAGTAAAAAAAATTACCAAATAATCATCAATCATTACGTTGATTTATAACAAAATTTCGAATTTGATGTTTTTTTTTCTTTAATTCGAATTGTTAAAAAAACAAACAAAAATTATTTGAATCGAATTCACAACACAAGAACAAACAAACAAAAGAAATACGATTTTATCGTTTTGTTTTTGTTTTTCTATTGATTGGCACGATACAAATTAATGTCTTCAGTATCAAGACAGGCATCATTGCCCGAAGAAACAAACGATACAACTACCAATACTACTGTTATTGAATCAACATCACCAAATGCTCAAAAAATGAATGGTTTAACATTAAGTGAATTATGTTGTCTATTTTGTTGTCCACCATGTCCGGCACGTATTGCAGCTAAATTAGCATTTTTACCACCTGAACCAACTTATTCAATCATACCGGATGATAATCATTCAACAAAATTAACCTTAAAATTTTCCGAACGTGCCGATTGGCAATATACACAACGTGAATTGGAATGTTTCGAAGTTCAATATGCTCAATCAAGTCGTGGTAATCGTATTGCTTGTAAGTTTCATTTTGTTTATACAAAATGAATTTTTTCATTGATATTGATTTTATTGAACTGATTGTTTATTCTTATCAATCAAAATACAGGCATGTATGTACGAGCGACTCCTAATCCTAAATATACGATATTATTTAGCCATGGAAATGCCGTTGATTTAGGACAAATGAGCAGCTTTTATCTTGGCCTTGGTACCCGTATAAATTGTAACATATTTTCTTATGATTATTCTGGCTATGGTGCCAGCACTGGAAAACCGTCCGAAAAAAATCTTTATGCCGATATTAATGCCGCATGGCTAACATTACGTAGTAAATATGGTGTTAGTCCGGATAAAATTATTCTTTATGGCCAAAGTATAGGCACAGTACCTACTGTTGATCTAGCTTCGCGATATGAATTAGGTGCCGTCATCCTACATTCACCATTAATGTCCGGTATGAGGGTTGCATTTCCAAATACAAAACGTACATGGTTTTTTGATGCTTTTCCAAGGTATATTTATTATTTTTTAAATTTTTTAAATATCTAATTCATTAATAAATCCTTTTTTCAATTATAGTATCGATAAAGTACCAAAAATTAACTCACCAGTACTGGTAATACACGGTACCGAAGATGATGTGATTGATTTTTCGCATGGTCTAGCTATTTATGAACGTTGTTCGCGTGCAGTTGAACCATTATGGGTAGAAGGTGCCGGACACAACGATATTGAGCTCTATTGTCAGTATTTAGAGCGGCTTAAAAAATTCATATCAGTCGATTTACCTGCCTCAGGATCTGCGGCAGCAGCATCGACAACAACGACAACGAATCAATCATAGAAAAATTATTTAACCAAATCGAACAATCAATTGAAAATTATCGAAACCATCCATTGTTTCATACTCAAACTCTTTATCAAAAGAAAAACTATTGGAATTCAAAAATTTTTTTCCTTATTCAAAAATGGATAAATCCTTTGTATGGTTTTTTGTTTGTATATACGAAAATTTCATAATATTTACCAACCACCGATAAATAATTTCTCATCCCAAATGGTTTTTTTGAAGAAAAAAAAAAGTTCAGTGCATAAAAAACATAAGTATGGATGGAATTGGTTGGTGAATAAAATCGATTCACACACACACACACACTCCATTCATTTATTGGTGAAAAAAAAATTAAAACCAACAACAATTTTGTTTTCTCTTTTATTTTTATCCAATTTTTATTCTTCATTTTTCATTGAATCCTTTCTTTCTTTCTTTTTTTTTGATATGATCCGAATTTCTTTCTTTTTTAAAAAAATTTCATTATTTATTTTTCAAAAATAATTATCATAACCAAAAAAAAAATTGTGTGATGAAAGTTGATGTTGGATGTTGTTTTGTTTTGTTTTTAGTTTCAAACAAATTCAAAAAAAAATGTATGATTTCTATGTAAAATCTGTAACACCGACACACACACACATCTATACATACTGTATTTTTTTCCTTATTCAAGCGGATTCTACAGGGCGATTTAAAGAAAAAACAGATAAATAAAAACTGTTCATTTTATTATGGTAATTTTTCCAATTATTTTCAAACTATAATATGAAAAAAGTAATTTTTCATCAATTTTAAATAATAAAAAATGAATTTTATTAATTGGAATTTTTACCGAATGAAAATCTTTGATGATGATGAAATATGATCGTTTGTTTACATGAATTGTCATGATGATATGATGATATTTTCATATCCTGACAAATGTATTCCGGTTGACTGTGTGTGTGTGTTTGTTCTGTTGAAGATGACGTCCGGTTTCATTTTTTTCTCTCACTCTCTCTCTCTTCTTGCCTGAACCATCATCATCATTTAAAGAATAATATTGATTCACTATAGAGTTGTGTGTGTGTTTTGGTAAAATTAATAATTTCGATAATGTTAAATGATGAATTGTTTTCGATTTTTCGACAAGAACATTATCCAACATTTTATAAATATAATGGATTGCCAAAATTTTGGATCGATATTAATCTATTTCGTTTGGTATCATTGTTTATAGCTATATTATTAGCATTTTTAATTATTCTTCCTGGATTTCGTGCAAAGGTATCGATTTAATTAATTAATTAATTAACTAACTAATTAATTATTGATTGATTGATTATTTAAATAGAAATTTTCGGTAGCATTACGTTGGAGTACCAGTCTAATTATTTTATTTCTAATGCTTTGTAAATATATCCGATTAAAATTGATTAGATCAAAAGTCATTTGCTTTTTTTTTGTTGTTAATTACAAGTTTGTAATCTGATGCCATATTGGGAACGTGGACAAATACGATCACAAATGCCGTATCGTTTTGGAAGAAATCTTAACATTGATGCAACGGTTGGAATTAATATTGGATTACGTGGTATCAATATTACATTGATTGGTAATCCAATTAATCAACATAATGATACAATCGATTTTAATGAATATTTTGATTGGACATGGTCACAAGGAAAACCTGGTTTTGGTTATGATGGTTTGTTGTAATGAATATTTTTTCAAAAATATTTTAGTTTTATTCAAATATTTTTTTTATTGAAAACTGAAAAAAAGCTGGAAAGTTTCAAAAAGATTATCGTCATGCACAATTTCGTGGTCTACCATATCCAATATTATGGATAGCCGAAACATTTACAATCGATTATGAATCAATACATATTGGTCGTTATTATCGACAAGCTGGTTGGTTGGCACATATATTTCTATGGTATTTATCACAAACAATAAGTTCATTGAACGGATTTGATTGTTTTTTTTTTGTTTTTTGTTTTGAAAAATGTCAAAATTGATGTTTAGGATGGCTGTACCATTATTTATCATATGCAATATACTATTTCAAACAGTTATCTATTATGGATCATTATGGATTATATTTACTGGAATTAGTTTATTAAGTGCAAATTTTATTGTTATTTTTTATTCACATTGTTCAATACCGTTAACATTAGCATTTGATAATGGTTTTTTAATTACACATTATTCATGGTGTTTTTATATAAATCTAATTAATGGAATATTATGCATTATAATCGGTATTATTACATTGATTGCTGATCTTCGTTTACCGGATGAAACGGCCGAATTTTTCGGTAATGATGTATTACAAAGTTATGAAGATTATTTTGCCGATCCACAGGATAATGATGACGTAAATGAATTTAATAATATTCATTCGACAAGTGATAATGAAGTATTATTACGACGAAAACAAATTAATGGTGAAAAGGTTAGTTTTTATCTTCAAAAAAAAACATCTCTTATCCATATCTCTTTCCATTCTTTATCTTTCTCGTTATTTAATCAAACTAAACAAACAAACAGGTCATTACACATCAGGAAAAAACGATAGAAGGCGGTGTAACAAGAGGATTAAAAAAACGAACCCTATCAAATCGATTTTCACGTTTTCAAAAATCAACAATACGTTCTGTCAAAAAACCTAATACTACATCGAATGATCGACATCGTTTCCATGATGAACATAATACAATCAATCAAATTGATCTAGATGATGTCGGTGGTGATACTGGTGTGGTAGGTGTTAGTGTTACTAATGTTAACCTGTCAAATATCGATGATAAACAATCGGATGAAATTCCATTATATGAAAATTTCCGGCAATTTTCAACCATTGGTGAAGAAAAGGAAGATGATAATGAAATGTAAATACATTTCGACAAAAGGTAACCTGATGCCATCTAGCTATTGATATGAGAAAAATTATTATTTCAAAAATATTTTTTTCCCATTTTGTCATTTGAATTGAATAAATATGAAAAAAAATTTCATTTTTGTTTTAAATTCTGTGTTTTTTCCATTTTCTTTTCCTTCCTTATATCAAACCAAGAAAACTTTTTATTCATTCATTTCCTTCAAGATTGTTTTGCCAAAAATTCATTATTTCCGGCATTTAGTTTTGTCAATTTCGCTATAAAAACAAACGTTTTATTTATTTATTAGATTTTGTACAATGTCATATGTCATATATGTAAATGTATATAAGTTTTATTTTGAAGTTTTTTTTTAAAAAAAAAGAAGAAACTGGAATGATTATTGGAATAAAAATCAATCAATTAACACAGTAATGAGCAAAGGATGATGATGATGATGATGATAGTATATTAATGAAAATATTGATAATAATGATAATTGAAACACTGTTGTGGTTAAATATTGTTGATGGCAATGATGATGATGATGATGGATTTGTTTTCATTCCAGATGTTAATTCCGGTGCAATATAATTTGTTTCATATTCCCATATTTCATTTTCCTCATCATCCACATCATCATCATTATCATTATCATGAAGATGATTTTGTTTATTATTAAGATTCATGGTAAAGTCTACAGGAAAATGAAAATGCAAATGTCAACAATCATTGTTTTCATTTGAAATGAATTTCAAAATATGTTAAATATTTACCTTTATTCATTGAATGATGTATATTTTTATTAATATTTGTTTCAAGATTCTGTTGTTGTTGAAATAATTTTTTATCATGAAAATTTAATTTTTGATTATGTTTTTTCAGGTTGGATGCAGTTGTTGTCATTGTTATTGGCCGTCTTAATGGTTTTTTTGTTGATGGTGGTGGTGGTGGTCGTTTACGTTCCAAAAGTTGTATAAAATTTCTTTCATTACCCATCTTATTTTTACCTATACAATTATATTTATCAAAATCATTTTTCTGTATATCACTAATTTTGAGCCTTTGGATAAAAAAACGATGTTATGTTTAAATAATGCTTCATTTTTCAAATACATTCAATAAATACCTGGCAATAAAACGATAGGGAATGATACTTTCATTCATTGATAATGTATATTTCCTATCACTATAAACAATTAATGGTAATTGATTATTTTTTTGCCAATAAACATTAGCTCTTGGATAGGATTCAATATGGCATTCAAGTATTGGACTTGATGAGATTGCTGCTTCAACCAAACGTTTATTTGTCCGTATAACTGGTTTGACTAATAATTGAATAATAAGTTTTTTTGTTTTTACAAGATAATTAGTAATCGTATCACGAACAATCAAATTTATTAAGGATCATGGAAAAATTCTAATAATAAATTATTAACTTACAGCTAACGCCAAGAAATATTCGTTTACTTATAGTCGGTAATATACCATTGGAAGCAATACAAAGATAGGCACCTGTCCGAATCATTATCAAAATTAATTCTGATTAAACTTTTTCATATAAAAAATTTACCCATTTGATGTCTGGACACATTTTTCAAGTTTAAATATTGACCTTTAATTGTCAATGATGCTATTTGATCAATAATCAATAATCAATTTATGAATGATATGATATTATTTAAATAACTTACATTCATTGGTTTGTGAATCTAATTGAATTGGTTGTTCATCTTCACGACGCCATACAATCTGTGGTTCTGGTCTTCCTTTTGCCAAACAATTCAATGTTGCAGATGAATTTTCTGCTATATCAAAATCCGAGCTTGTTTTCTCTTCAATAAATGATGGTGGAACTGTTTTTTGATCGAAAAAAAATTTAAAATTTTGTTTCAAATTTGATCATTCATAACATTAACTAACCATTTACTTCAAGATAACCAATTTGTATACGCATTGGTTTAGTATTTACTTGACACATATAAAATCCACGATCTTTTTCCTGTACATCATGTATGGTTAGATAAAATGTTGTATTTGCATGTGACCGTACGGATATTCGTCCATTTTTACTGATGACCGTATCATGTGTAGCTAACAATACATGATGATCCTGATGAAACCATACCAGCTATATTTGAATCCAAAGAAAATAATACATTTCAAAAATAAAACAAAACATATGTCGACATTATCACACACACATACGAATATTTCATCTGAAAAAACGACCATAAAACATTCAATTCTCTATGTAGTTATTATATTTAATTTAATTTAATTCAATTTAATCCGTTAGATATGTGTGTGTGATACGATTCATTTGAAAATTCTTTAACAACAACAAAAAAGACTCATCATCAACATCAACAACGAGAAATTTTCCTCTCCGTTACAATCAAAATAGACGATTATTACGATTATAGTTGTAGTTGATAATGATATTAAACTCTTTGTATGACAAGACAATTTTGACAAGTTTTTTTTTCAAATGAAATTTTTTTCCGCTTTTCAAAAACCAGCGAGAAAAAAATAACCAAAAATTTTAAAACTAAACAATCATTTTGATGAAAGAGATGTCATCATTCGACTAACATCCATTCATTTTTTTTCATAGAATTTAGCCTTCACTCGTTGTTTTTCATTCAAAATTGTTTTTGTTTTGATGTCATAAGTTTTCAACAGTTATTCTTTAGATTTGTATCAATTTTTTTCAAAATTTTTTCATCTAATCAGTATGGAATAATGATGGATTTGTTTCTCCCTTTGTACAAATGCTGAACATTCGATTGCTAACTAATTAGCTATCGACCATTGGTCATGCAATATTCATTTCGAAATAACGAATGACAATGATTCATGAATAAGAATTTGTTATATAAGATGGGATTATTATCTTTGAATTACAACGGGAAAAAGAAAGTATCGAATTCAATTTTATTTTCTTGTTGGATAATATATTAATAATATGATAAGAATGTAAGGAATTGAATGGAACAAAATAAGAATAACATAAAATCGATATAACCATATAATAATAAAATATATGATAATGATATCCAAGTAGATATAGTTGAACTAATCGTGCGCTAGTTACTGTGTGTGTGATCGAACGAAAAAATGATCTAATAGAATAGAAAATATGAGAAGAAAATGATCCATAACCCGATAGATAGTGAAAGTTACTATTGTGAAAAGAGAAAACTCAGAAAAATTTCATCAATCAAAAGAATTTTTTTTCTCTCTAATGTGAATGAGTTATATCCATGATTCTATATTCCATTAGTCGTTTGTTTGGAATGATGATGATGATGATCATCATCATGATTATGATGAACAAATTAAATTAAATTAAAGTTAAATTTTTTCTTTTTTTCTTCTTCAATGTTGAAGAAAAAATGTATCCACACACAAACACACACACATCGAACAAAACAGCAAAAGGATTTTAGAAAATTCTTAGTCTTTTGCAATTGGAATATATTTCGATTTTTTACCGCCAATATTATCGATTATATAGGAAAGAATTAAGGAATTTTGTTTTGAATTTCTCGGAAGAAGAAAACCAAAGAACTCTGTTTCAAAGAGTTATTTATAATAATTCCAATTTGAAACCCGAATATAAGAGAATTACGAGAAAAAAAAACATGACATACAAAAATGAAAATAATAATACTGGAAAAAAAACACTTTCATTTATCATTTTTTTCTGTTTTTTGTTTCATTCATTCATTCGGCCGTTGTTGTTGATTATTAGAATTACATTGACAATTTAACAAAGATTTCAATGAGAAAAAAAAAGGAAAAATATTACAAAAGCCGACAAGTTCCAAGCGAAAAAAAAACAATAGGAAAAAAGAGAAGAGAGAATTTAACAAAATAATAATAAAAAAATTCTGGATTGAGTGAAATTCTTTCAACATTACTAGCTTATATGATGCTATTTTAACCCTTTATTTTTTTCTTTTTAATTCAATTCAATTGAAGCGGGGGCTATTTGAGTGTGTGTGTGGATGGAAAATGAAACCCATAAAAATTGAATTATTCATTTGAAATGTATAATAATGTATGTGAAAGGAAATCGGCTAACCGAAATGTTAAATTTTGTTGTTGTTGTCGTAAATGTTTGCAACAAATCAGTCATGACAATTAAATATTTTGTGTGATGCATCGGGTTGATTGTTTAAGTTGTCTATCATTCCATTTTTCCATTTCATTTCATGGATATTCTTTTTTTTTATTGTGATGCTATTTTGTTGTCGTTGTTGCTATAATATTCAACATTCAGAATTTTGGCCAATGTAGAATCCATTTTTATTATTAAGCTCGTTGTTGTTGTTGTATTTTTTTCACAACAATACTCATAAATCTTAAATTTACTAAATTGATCTTTTATGTTGGATACTATAGTTTCATAATGAAAGTCAACATAATCATCATCATCATCATCGTTTAACTTGTTTTCAATTCAATTCATTTATAGATTTACTATAGAAATTTTAGTTATCAAAACTCGATTCTTTGCTTATTCAGCATACTAATACTATTCATCAAAAAAAAATCTTTTCTCTTTTTTCTCTTTCATTCATAACGAGAAACACACAAAGAAAAATATAATAATTGTTTAAAAACCAAATTTTCAACATGTGTTCGGTCGGATCTTATTCTTTTCGACTCGACCAAAGTAAAAACTGAATTCAAATCATAACGGTAGTTATTCTATCGATAGTTAATTAGAGAATAAATTCTATCGAGCAAAAAAAAAAATATTTAACAACAGCCAGACAGAAAAAATGACAGTAATTATCATCATTTAAATCATTAAAGATTTATTGAATTTCTTTTTTCTTTTCTTTTTTGAATTTTACAAAAGAAAGCAATTATAATTTTTGATTATTATCAATCCGGCTGGTACCGGATATTTGAGTAATGATTGAACAAAAGTGAATTGAAATTTGAAATTCAAATTGATAAAAGTAAAAGTTACGAAAGAAAATACCCCTACACAAGTCTAAGGAATGAAAAAAAATTGAAAAAAAGACTTACACGAAAATCTTTTAATTTAGGAAATACACATTCAAATGTTGCATCACGACCAACAGTAACTGTTATATTTTTCATTGTATTTGGCCAATCCGAATTGTTTGGTGTTGCCGATGAAATATGTCGGCCTATAAATGATAATATTCCACCATTGCTACCACCACCATTGTTTTGATGATAATTATGATGATGATGTTGATGGAGATGTGGATGTGGATTTTTATTTTTATCATCATTATCATCATCATGTTCATTAGGATGCAGATGTTGTTTTCTTTGAATTTTCAATGATATTCTTTCATCTAAATCATGTTGTTGATGGCCACCACCATCACCATCATTTTGAACATTTGCTCTTGTCGAAAGATGATGATTCCTAAGTTTTTTACAACAAAAAATCAAATATCGATATGAAATGATAAAAAAAGAGAAAAAAAAGAATAGATAATACTAATTAGTATAATGATTCTTCAATTGGTGGTGGTGATGATGATGATGATGAAATCAATTATTTACCATAATGATCGTCGATGTGTACGTTTTTTGAATGAAATATTTTCATTCCATTTATTATTCTCATAATTATCGTCATCGGGAAAAAATGAAGAATTTATTTGATTTATAATTGTTGTTGTTGTTGTTGATGTATTTAGTTGTGGTTGTTGTTGTTGTTGTTGAATAATGATTCGATCATCATCATCATCATCATTATGAATGTAAAAACTATCCATTGTCATCATCATTGGATGATGATGTTGATATTGATTTTTATTATTCTTGAGTTCAATACAATTACAATGATCAATATGAATGATCATTGTAATCATTATTATCATCCACATCCACATAATATATGATAGGCAAATTTCATTGTTGTTGTTGTTGTTATAGAATTTGAAACATCTGGTCAATGTTTTTGCTGTTGCTATTCGAATGGATGATTCAGGAAAATCTTGTAAAAATAAAAAATAAAAAAATGTAGTAGCAGAAACAAATCAATGTTGATATATATAAATTAATCATAATTTTGTTTTGTTTAATTAAAAACAAAAACAAAAATTAATCAATAAATAAATCTTCTGTATCTGTTTTTTTTTCTACCTGAAATTCATTAAATTTTTATTAACCAATGCACGTGAATCAACGAAAAAACAAAACACAAACAACCAAATTTATTTAATATTCTTTACATCACATCACAGAATAACCATGGAATAATACAAATTGTATTAAATAATAATTATATTCCAGAATCATCATCATCATCAATAATGACCGATTGAATTTTGTTGTTTGGAAATTTGATTTGTTTGTTTGTTTGTAACAGGAAAAACAAAATTTTTTTTACCTCTAAATATCAATTATAATTATTAGTATTGTTATGTTTATTTATTTATTAAAATAATGAATTATTATCCTTCACATGTTTTTGTGAAAGAAAATCAAAGTAATTCGTTGTTGTTGTTGCTGTCTGTATCATTGTTTAGAATTCAAACATAATCCAATTAGAAATAATTTCAATGATTATATGATTATTACCAGGTAATTTTTCAATTTTGTTTTGCAAGAAAATTTTCATTTTTCATATTTTTTTTTCAAATTTCCATTTCCAAAATAATGTTTTTTGTTTTTTCACTCATGAAATTTTCCGGTTCTGGATGAATATTTTTGCCTCTTCTCTTTTTCTCTCTTCTACCGAATTCATATTCCAGGTTTTTGTTTGTTTTTTGTTTTGTCGATTCGAAAAATATTGTTTGTTTGTTTGTTTGGTTTGTTTTACATCATCATCATCATCATCATCAAAAGGTTTATGAATGAAGTTTTTTTTCTTTCTCTCTCTCTCGCTCTCGGTGTGTTTTCATTTTTTTTCTTCATACATTTTCAAATGAATTAATTAATTATAATTAACTAATTAATTAATGAAAATGATGTAAAATTCATTTGGAAATTATTAAATAGAAGAAGAATTTAACACAACATATAATATCAACATAGGTTTTTTTGGGTTTAATCATTTTTCTGTTTTTTACTTTGGAAAAACCCAAACTAGGCCAGGTTATTTATTTATTTTCCAAATGGGGAAAATAAAATGAAAGGGGTTAACGGTGATAAGGATGAGAAACAAAAAAAGATTATGTTTATTTAAGCCATAATATTGATAAAATTGAATTATGATGAAGATGATGCCAGAGAAAGGTTTCCGTAAATAAAATTAATTCTATTTCATTTCGTGCAAATGTTTGTCATCATCAATGTATACAAACAACCAAACAAACAAATAAATGCCTTAACGGCATCAATTTACATAAACTTTTCCATACAAACACGCATCAAACTAAAACTATATTCATTGGCATTTTATGAAAGATTTCCGTGGGTTAAAAAAAACCGGAATAAAATTGATATGTTCTGTTCATAAACAACGAACATTACAGAATTCTTTTTCAAATTCTATCGATGATGATCTGGATTTTTGAAAAAAAAACAACAACAAAATCCAAAAAACATTTAAATCAAAATTGATTCGATATTTTAATATAGCAAAAATCAAACATGATGACCATTATTATCATCATTATATTATGATTGGATCATGGATGATGGGTATAAACAATCATCATCATCATTTGGATGGATACAAGGAACAAAATAAAGACAAGTAGCCATTTTTACGGGTTTCTGGAACAACGACAAACCTATGAAAGTTTTTTGGCCAAAACAAAAAACATAAAACAAGAACACGAAAACGATGAAATGCAGTGATGCATTAAATTTATTATTATTTTTGTCCACAATAATTTTTTTCTTTACTGATATAGAAAAACAAAACAAAAACAAAAATAATCAGAAAATGTAAAGGAAAAAAATATAACAGGACTAAACTTTTGAATGAATGACCAAAGAAATTCCTAAGAAAAAAAAATGAAAATTGATTGACTTTATTTGGTCATCAATATATTTTTCTTTTCTTCATTCTTTACCGATTATTTTTTGCAGATACACACCACTTATATCTTTTTTTTATATCAAAATTAACTTATTTTTTGAAAAAAAACATCAATCGCGAAATTGATTTTTTTGAAAAGTTTTTTTTGTTGTTGTTGTGAAATTGAATTAAAAGTGAAAACAGAAAAAATTATTATCATTATTATTGATTTTTTTTTCAATCGAAACAAAAAACAATGAAGAATAATTTCAAAAACAAACAACTTACAGTGATAAGGCGCCATTTGTTTTTTTTCTATGAATGAATTGAATATTCTGTGAATTCAATGAATTTGTAGCAAATTATTATCGAATGTCGAATTTGTATGAATGATCAAGTAGTGTCATCACATATTGTACTTTGAGGAGAGAAAATAAAGTGTAAAAAGAGAAGAATCAAAAAATCGATTCAAATCGATCGATCGATTATTGGCCAAATCAAGAATTTTATTATTGTTTTGCTATGTTATTATTATCATTTTCTCATCATTATTATCATCATCATTAAATTCGTGTTTTGGTGTATGTGTGCGAACAAAACACATTAAGAAGATTAACATTCATTATATTGACAAAACCAAAAATTGTCTTGTTGATCACAAGCATTAATTAGTGGTGAATTAGTAATGTTTTTTTTATGTTGTTAATATACACTGATGGACAAGAATGTTGAATGGAAAAGCTGAATTGGAAAAAAATGATGACAAAAAAAGATTCTGTTGTCAAGCAAACAGAAGAAGAATAACGAAAATCAATTATAATTTCAATAATAATAAATCTGAGAAACAAATTTTGTAGTTTGTTTGTTGATTAATTTAATTGATACAATTTTATGATCATTATTGAAAATTAGGTGATGGTAGTAAAGGAAAATAACGATAAAATTTAACAACGAAGTTTCAATTTTCTATTTATTATGGCCATATAATTTGATTTTATTGTCGAAAGAAAGAAGAAGAGAAAAAAACTTGGAAATAAAATTGAAAATTTTCAGATTTTTGAAGATATTCTTAAGCTGGAACATCATCATCATTGTTGATCTGTTGTTTCATTTTCATTCATTTCATGAATTGTAAAAAGAGAATGACAAAAAAAAAACTATGTGAAGAAATAAATCCACATTGGATCGGATATTTATAGTGGAAAGAAATTCTGTCAATCTGGCGCGGATGTTGCGCAGCAAATATTTTAACATGTGTGTGTGTGTTTGTGTTGGTGTGTGTGTGTGTGCCAAATGGATCGCATCCGATCATAGTATTGATAAGTGGCGGCACATTCAAAATAGTAACCATTATGAACATCGATGGATGAATCCCGACAAACAATTCTAACGACGGCGACATTGCAAAAAAAGAAAAAAAACAACTATTCAACTAACGGATAATACAAAATCTAGAATAGAAAATAGTGGAAAAGGAAAAGAATATGAAAAAAATAGTATTCTTTTTTCTGGAATCATCGTAATAACATCACCAACAACAAAAAAAAACCCATATATAATACCAAGTCATTTCATCTCAATGTGTACATTCACAATGTCTATAGTCATCATATACTAGTCACTATAGTATATTGGAATTTTTGTTTCTTGTTCATCAAAAATCACACAACCACACTGGTTTTTTTTCTCCAACATTGATTTTGGTAGTTCGGTTCCATTCATGGTCATGATAGTGATGATGATGATCAATGAATAAAATTTCTATCCGATAAAAAACTTAAATGACGATCGATATCTTTCATCATTCATTGGATTCGGAAATTAATGAATGAATTTGAAATCAACTATTTTTGATTGAATGAGGTTTTTTGCTGTTGTTGTTGCTTGTTCCAAGAAGATTACTCAACACTTTAACAACTTTGATTTTTCATAATTTTTGTTATTGTTTTTTTTCTTTTTTTTTTGCATATCAGATTTAAGAAAAAAAGAGTTCAGCCATCATTATCATCAACATTGGAATTTTTTTTTGTTTTTGTTGTTTTTTTTCATTACGATGATGGTTATTTATGTATCATGGATCCATCAAAAAAGTCCCGAAAAAAAAGTGATGAAGATAAAATACGACATGACTGATAACAAGATTGGTTTGAACTTGAAGAAAGATCACATCAAAAAGAGAGAGAGAGAGAGAGGGAGAAAAACAGAAAGTTTTTTTTTGTTGAAACGGGAAAAACAAAAATTCCGCTTCGAATTGCATTCATTTTCATTGCTATAGTGAAATATACATTTGAATGATGATGATGATGATGATCAAGATGAAAAAAAAACATAACGACCGTAAGAGGAAAAAAGGAATGAAATAAAAGTTCAATAAGCTATTAGTTTGTTTTTTTTATCCAATTCAAAATCATGTTTTTTCGGCCCGAACAACAACAACAAAAAAAAATCTATTGAAAATCTTTATAACAACAAAAAAAAAATAAATAATTTCATTGCAAAATCATCCAGAAATTGCTATGAATCTATTATGGATATATCTTCACATTTTAGAATGTTCAAAAAAAAAAAAAAAATGAAAACGAAATAAAATAAAATAAAATGAATCACTATATGCGAATCATTGGAGAGATGGATTGGTTTAGTCATTTTTGGTTGGTTTGGTCGGTCGGTCGGACGGACGGTTAGATGGATGGATGGATGGATGGATGGTGTTGATGTTTAACAAACGATGGATAGGATCGACTAGTCCATTGGTCCAACTATGATAATATCTATCCACATACACTTAACAAGTCGTACAAATGAGTGACAGCATCCATTCAATAACAAGACCCTAACACCAGATACAAGTTTCAACAACAACATCAACAGCAGCAGGAAACATTTCATCTTCAATGTTTGTTTGTTCGTTTTTCCCCCGTTTTCCAGAAAAAAAACTACTACAACAAAGATGATCCAACAAAACAAAACAAAAAAACTTTGAAACTCTAGGATAACAGAAAAAAATTGGATAATTTATTTATGTGTTTAAGCTTATCCAGTAGTAATGGTAGATCATCCATTTGGAAATCTATTAAAAGCAACAACAACAACAAAATGAAAGAAGTGAAATGATTTTCTTTTCTCTCTCTCTCTTTTACGAACCATTTTGATGATGATATAAACTTGATTAATATACCGGCCATTATCACCATACTAACCATCTTTGAATATTTTGGAAAATGAATGAATCCAGGGGCCAAAAACAAAAAGCAACAAAACAACGAAAGCGAAAAGTTTTTTTTCTTCTTTCAATTGATGGATGATCAAATCGTATGCGGTAGTAATTTTGTTGATGATGCTAATCATACAGAAAAAAAACACAGAATACGTGCATGAAAGATTCATTTATAATCTGAATATAATGTTTGGATTTACTTGCAAAAAAAACAAACAAACAGAAACACGTACAATAATGCTACAAGTGCTAGGCCTGTTGTTTGATTATGATTAGAATTCAGTTGTTTCTTATAAAAAAATTCAATGATAAAATTGTTCTTTTTACACCCAGTTATAACAAAAAAAATAATAATAATTAACCATCCATAAATCATAACCGGAAAATATTTAACCAAACACATATTTTGTTGTTTTTCTTTTCTTTTTACAAGAAACTATTATTATTATTATTATAAAAAATGACAATTACCGAGATAATAACCGAAAACATTTAATTTAGATTTAGGTTCCAATCATAACATTCTCATTCATTTTTTTCTTTGCCAGACAAGTTAGTCAAACTTCATTATTGTTATTATTAAATCTTATCCGGTTTATTTCATTTAAATAAAACAGTAAAAAAATGGAGAAGAAAGACTGTATGTAATAATCTAATCTTTGTAAGATTTTAAGGATAATTTATGATTAACAACTGTATTGTTTTTTGTTTTGTTTTTGCTTTTTGTCATTACAAACGACAAAATAAAGTAAAGTAAAGTCTTGTTTTTCAGTTGTTATGAAACAGCTTTAGTTATTTATTTTTGGCGGGCTGATGTTTCAATTTTCGTTTTTCGTTTTTCCTCTTGTCTATTGTCAACGAATAATGTCTCGTACACTTGCTATATATGTTTGTTGTTAATAAAGCGAGAATGTCGTTCCAGGATCAAACTACCAAATATGGCATAAATCGATGTCAAAACATATAGTTTAGTGGAAGTTTAGTGATAACAGAGGTTTGTTGTTAGAACTTTTTTTTCCCCCGTATCAAACTCTTTATGTGCAATAATTTTTTTTTTGGCTAATGATTTTTTTTGAATCAAACAATACGTCGTCATCGTCATATTTTTCCTTCCTTAAATTCCATAACTTACCGAAAGAAAAATGAACTTTTTTTCCACTATCTCCCCGTGTCAATGCTTTGAGAAAAAAAATTCATCAATGGTCAATAGAGTGTTAACAAAAACAATTATCGCATCACAATTATTCACAATCAGCTAATTTCAATGACAAAAAAACAAAGCAAAAACAAAAAATATTCACACCGGTTACAATGGAATTTTTCATTGATTTAATCATAATTAATCTAATTATGCTGATGTTGTTATTGTTTTCTTTTTTCTATGATAATCATATTCAATCAGAAAATCAGTGAAAGAAGGTTTTTTTTCAAAAAAAAAAATCAAATCAGTTCCAGGGTCGAATGTTCAATTCTCCCAAATAATACTGATAATCGGATACAGAATCTATGAAAACAAAATCTGTTGGAAGGAAGAAAAATATTCACGTGGATTATGGAAAAGAAAAGGATGCTAATATTTTCTCTTTGGAATTTTTTTTTTCGATAACGCCAAATGAAAATATTGATAATAATTTTATTCGCTTGATTTGATTTCTATGTATGTTGTGCATATCATCGTTGTTGTTGTATTGAATTAAACTTTAAATAACTAACAAACAACAAACGAAAAAATATGTTGATGATGAACAAAAAAAAGGCAAACAAGAAGAAGAAGAAGAATAAAATGAATGGTCAGTCAACGGTGTTATTGATGATAAGAGAAAATATTATTCTTTTCTTTTCTTTATTTTGTTGTTGTTACTGTTGTTGATTCTCGGGAAATTTTTCTTACAGCTAACTGGACACAGCTATAGATTTGATATGAAAATGAAAACGATACGAATTTTGTTTCTGGTTGTATTTTATGTGAGAAAAGACTGAATATTTGTTTGTTTGTCATTCATTTTTACTCGATTATTTTTTCAAAGTTTGTTTGTCCAGAAAAAAAAATTCATTTTTTTACACGAATAATAATTTCAGCTCAACAACAGCGACAAATATCACCTTGAATTGAAACAATGTTTCTTAATGACGTAAGAAATTGTCAATTGTAAATTATTATTATTATTATCTCTCAATACCGATATAAACATTGTCATTATTCAACAGAGACGTATCAAAAAAAATATGGATGAAACAGACAAACAAGCAAAATTCAATGCGATCATCAACAGCAAAGATGGAAGAAATTTTTTTTTATTATTATTTAGTTCCAAATAACTAATAGGCTTATCATTCATTCATTCATTCATTGAATAATTCGAATTCTATTTGAACTTGTAATGATCAGGTCTACGAAGAGAAAGATTGATCTATCGTCTTGATGTTGTTTTTTTCTTTAGATATCCTCATTTCATTCATTCATTTTTTTCGACTTATGAACTGTGATAATAAGGATGATGATGATGATGAAAATTTGATCTTCAAATCATCATCATCATCATCATCATAAGACGGTTATGGCAACAACAACAACAACAAAATCCAATGCAATGACAAAATTATTATTTTTTTTCGATAAATTCGTATTCGATTTATCGATGTATATTTATAATGTGATGATGTGAATGAAATGATATTCTTTTTCACAATAATGATATATATTTGGTGTGTGTGTGAGGGGAAAAAAGAAAAAGAAAGAATAGATTTTTGATCATTGATAGATTATGCCTAATAACATTCTTGTGGGAACCAAAAAAAAAAAAAACTAACATGATAAATTCTAATTGAAATGATGAATCTATGAAGAAATGGTGGGGAGAGAAAAAAAACTATAAAGATTCTATGAATAAGATTCGATATATGATCGGTCGAGAAAAAAAATCGGAAAAAATGAAGAAAACAAAACAAAAAAATGGCAAAGAATCATTGAAAATATTATTAGATACATTTCCATCAACAACAAATCATCATCAAATTTATTTATATACGGATTATTTTTTGTTTGTTTGTTGATAATCAGTTATGAGAAAATGAATTTCATCATCAATATTTTTTCTTCTACTTCTTTATTGTCGTTTGTCGATGCAAGAAAAAAAATGAGCATCATAGTACTCAGTGTGTATACAAATTCAAAGGGAAATTTTTCTTCTTTTTTTTGGTTGATGTGAATGATTCAAATAAATCAAGAATTTTCTTCTTTTCTCCTTCTTTGATTTCGTACATTTGAAAGATTTTTTTTTTGAAGCCACTTATTCTCTATATTTGAATGAAGATTGAAAAAATAATCATCTTCATTGCCAGCTTATAATTTCTTTCATTTTTTCACTTGACTTTTGAATCATTTTTTTTTCTTTTTCTTTTTCTTTGATTGAATAAGAATATTCACCCAATGATAAAGCTTGGGTCAAATCTTTTTCTTGGTCTGGATTTTGCGAATGGAATTATTATTAGAAATGATAATTTTGAATGACATTTTTTTTTGTCGAACAAATTTGTTTTTTTTTTGTTGGAAATATTCGTCGAAATCGTTTCAAACGAAACATACGATGACGACAAGATGGAAGCCAAAAATAATTATATTTTGAGAATGATTTTGTTTTTTAGCAAAAATCAAAACAAAAAAAAATCTTGAAACAACAAACCATCGTCGTCGACGACAACAAACATCATGACCAGCAGCAGCAGCAGAAAAGATCTCAAATCAAATCTTTTTTCTGGACATTGTCGACGATGAACATGAATTTAGGATTCATTTTTTTGGGTGTTAATGTCAAACGATGGACAATGGTCGAGTTTGTATCCAGTTTGGTTTGACAGTTTTTTGTGAATTTTTGTTTTTTAACATTTCATTTCTCTCACTTACAGAATTTCTAGTGAATGAAGAGAGAGAAACATGTTTCACTTAATGTTAATAAAAACGAAGAAGAAAATTCTTTTTGCCAAGATGTTTTCACTTTTCGAAACATTTTTTTAACATTTTGTCCAATTTGATTTAAATAATTTTCTGTTTTTTTTTCAATTTTTTGGAAATAAACTTGTCATCAACATCATTGAAATTATAGAAATGTCATTTTCTTCTGGGGATATTAAGTTTTTCTGAAATTTTTTTTGTTTGGTTGTTGTCTGAATTTTTATTACTTTTGATTGGATATTTAATTTAATTACAAAATGTTTTCGTTTGATATGGTATTTGATAAAGGTCATCCGAATAGATTGAACCAACATCCGAAGGGTATTCAGGGTCAATTGAATTGAAAGGAATCGAAATTGAACTTGAACTATTATTGATTTTGGAATTTTTTTCTTCTTTTCATTGTTCTCATAGTTTTCTATCTAGCTAAAATCGATATAATAGAATTAAATTGACCAGAAGTGTAAAACCGAAAGAAAATGGCCAATGGGTGAATGAAAAATATTTGAACCATATCATCAAACAAAAGAGAAATAAAGATGACCCGACTTATCACATGTCGATAATAATTTAAATAAACAAACCGATCTTTTGATCTATTCGATTCATTTATATGATTATATATTTGCGGTTATTATATTTTTCACTATCTATTTTCGATATCTTGTACAGATATTTGATGATGATAAATCGGAATGATCGATGATGATAAAAACTTTGAATACATTGTATATTGATCAGCACAATCACAATGATTAGTCATTCATATCGATATTTTTATTTTTACTTCTTTCTTTCCTTTTCTTCTTTTTTTGTTTCATATATAAAAGCAATGATTCAATAATGATCATCATTGATTAAAGTAAATGTATATCTCGTTTACTTATGAGAAAAAAAAACTTGGTTTCAAATTATTTGAATTTGAAAGACATTTGTCATATGGCCTCCATTGTGTACCATTTTACTGATGCTGTTGCTGCTGTTGATGATGATGATTTTGTTGATGTGATGACAAAATTAGATTATCGAATTGCACTCTGGTGAATTTGTCTTTTTGTTTCATCCCTCTTTGTTGTTGTTGTTGTTGTTTTTTTCCCAACATAGAATCACTTTCGAAAATAGTGAAAGCCATAGTGTTGACCATTTCTATTCGGCAAATAGAAACAATTCACAATATTTAAGAAATGAAAAAACAAAAAGAAAGAAAGAAATTCTTCGGCGCCATCATTTTCAACGAATTCATCCATAGTCAACCATTGCCACATTCTCTGTTCCCTCTTTTGTCCTGGTTCTGGTTTATTTGCCCGATGTTGGTGACGGCGATGATGATGATGACGATGATGAAAACAGCAATCAATTTACAATGTAAATAACCAAATTATTATAATAAATAAAGACCAACATCGACATGCGAAAATAACCCAAAAAAAAAATAAAAATAAATAGCCATGAATTGAATTGATAGCCAAACAACAACATGGTTAAAAACTAGAATAATGAAAGATGACAACTTTGCGATTCCAAAAAAAAAAGATTCGATTCTATTTCAACCACGAGTAACCATTTGGATCTCTATATTTACGAAAATTAATACGTTCAACATTCAAAACAAACAAAACTGAAAACCGAAAAACATTTTGATTGAATGAAATGACATTCATTGCTGAAGCCATTTAATAATTGTGATGATTTTCATTCATCACAATTTGATTTTGGACTGGACAAAACATTAATGATGATCAACAACAACAACAATAAAAAAAGCAACGAAAGCAAAATTTAATCATTCATAATGTTATAAAAAACGTTGAAAATCTATGCTGCTAATATCAGAGAATATTCTTTTGGAAACAAATCTTTGCAGCATACAATGTACGATTCCAAATTTTTTTTCTGTCGATTATGAAACAAAGCAAAAAATAAATAAATATTAAAAAACAAAACAGGAAAAAAAATCTGCGACCAACAACAACTTTTTTCATTCATTCATTCATTCATGGCTATTTGCTGTTGTTTGATTAGATAGTTGATCTAATAATCAACGGCAATGTTGATGATGATGATGATGATGGGAAAAAGTACCGTTATTTTGTCACCGTCGTGTTGTTATTGTTGATTTAATCATCAATCGTATGACAACAAACAAACAAGAAGAGAGAAAAAAAATATATTCGATAACCGGACCCAATGGCCGGAGTAAACTTTGTTAAACGCCATATTACAACTTTTTTTTTCTCCATATTTCAACCGAGGAAATCTTTTTTTTTTTTTTTGTTCCCGTTTTTGATTTTTACCGAAATCTAAAACTTTTTTTCCATTTTTTTGCTAAAATAATTACATTATACAGAAGAGACGAAGAGAAGATCGGTAGGAAATTTTTTTTTTTTTGACAAAATTCAATAGAATTTTGTTGTTGTTTCTCGAACGCTATGTTTTAACAATACAGGATATTTTGATGAAAATAATCTCTCATTCCATTTGATGATGATCAACCAGATTTTTCTTAATACTCAAACGATCATCAAACGATCATCATCACTAAAAATAAAAAATAAGAAATAGAATGAGATCATCACACATTATCTAATGAGCTTTGTATCGAATTGTACAAATCGAAAAAATGAATAAGAAACGAATGTTGAACACATTGTTTAACACATTGTTGATGATAAACATCTCTTTAATATTACTTTTGTCACACACACACACATTATTTTTTCTCCATATAAAATACATGATTTAGGCTAATGAACAGAGATCACCAAATTTGGATATCAAAAATAATGTTGTTTTTTTAGGAATAATTATGGAACAAAACAAAGAAAAAACATTAGAAAAACATCAAATTCTTATCCGATCAATTTGTTATTTATTTCGTTGTTTTTTTTTCGAAAATATCGATAACAAAAAAGGAAATAAAAGATTCATAATCAGATTCTGTATTGTCAGGGAAAGAAACATTTCATTTCACGGATTAATCAGATTGATTTGATGATTTTTTTTTTGTTTTATCGTTAAATGATTTGGCTGATAACCAACAAAAAAGAACTAAAAATAAATTCATCAATGAGAAAAATAACCATCTGTCCATTTTCTCAAATCATTTTTTTTTTAAATATTCAATTTGATAATTTCAAATATAGCTCGCTAGATGGATGAACTTGTGCTTATGATGGTTTACAATAAAAACAACCCTCTGCGTTTGCGTGACAAAATATCGATATGATTAATTCGATGATAATATTTGACATCATCATCATCATATGATTATTGCTTTAAATTTTTCTGAATTGAATTTTTTTTTCTCAATATGAATTCCGAATCGAATGATAATAATAATAATAACAATAATGATGATATTGTTAATATGAATGACCATTCATCAATCAATGTTGTTGTATCGAATGATAACAGTCATCATAATCAACAACAACAACAACAATCAACGATAAAATCAATTGAAAGTCGACAATCAGTAAAAATTATTCTACATAATCAATCAACACGTAGAGTTACAATAACATGGATTGATTATGGTGGTAATGAACGTATTTATGCAAAATTACATCCAAATTGTAAATTTGTTATCGATTCTTATGTAACACATCCATGGATATTTCGTGATATTGAACGAAAAAATTTAGCCATATTTGATGCAATAATTGCTAATCGTCGTGATTTACTTGCATTTCAAAAATGGAATAAATATTCTGAACAGAAACGTTTTCATGTTGCTGATCGTATCCTGTTTCCAAGACAACATAAAAAAGATTCAGAATTCATATTGGTCATTATTAAAAATGGTGTACATAATCTACAAGAATTATGTCAATTTTCATTGATTGAACAATTACATCGATCATCAACATCATCATCAATAACATTACCATCATATATTCTAAATAATTTGCCAAAACATCTTTGTGAAATTCTACATAACTACATCGATAATGGCCAATCTTTATTAGAATTTTTACCATTATAGTGCAATTATTCATCAAAATATACTCAAAAAACTTTTGTTTTTCAGTTTGATTATTGTTTAATTTGAAATTCTCAATCGCTCAATTCGTTATTGTAATTTCCTTCTTTCTTAATTTTGTGTGAATTTTTTTTACAAATTTTTTTTCAATAAATCATCAATTATAATTATATAATACAAAATGATGAATGAGATATAATGTGATTCTATACTATGATGATGATAAATCAAATCAATGTTTATTGATTGTTTGTTCAATTCAACTTTCCATTTCGGTAATTGTCGATTGTAGTTTTGATTCAAGCTGTTCAATTGTCGTTGTCAGTTTACTGTTGTTGTTTTCGATTTCGTTTTCCGATGATGGTTTCAATGTTTCATCATCACGTTGTTGTTCGGGTGATTTTTGTTGTTCATCGATGGTAGTTGTAGCTGCTGCTGGTATTGGATCATTCGTTTTTGAATCCATTTTTCGATCTTGTGTGCTCTACAAGAATTTTTGAAAAATAAATTTTGAACACAACAAAATAAAAACAAAACACTAACCTGAGATTCGGATGAACTGAACAATTCTTTCATTTTATTAAGGAAATGATCAGCTTTTTCTCGTACACGTGTATCAGTTTTATATTTACGACATTTTTTCAATGTTGAAATCAATTCTTTAAGATTGTCACCGAAATTTGAAACATTTTTCGATGTTATCTTCATTTTTACATCATCAATACTGTCCATTGTTTCCAAACATTTATCGATATTTGCATTCGTTTTCGATAGACTAAGCTTAATATTCGAATCGATCGTTGCTAACCATTCATTGATCCTTTGATTTGAATCTTCTTGTTGTTGTTGGTGGTTACGATTTTTTGCCTGCTGTAATCGTTCCAAACGTTTACGTTCCATTTTTTCACGTTTTCTTCGTTCCTTTTCACGTTCTTTTTCTTCCAATTTTTGTGCCAATTTTTCATCCTGTAATTTTTGTTTCAATTTCATTACATCTTCAATTGTTTCGGTTTTTGTTGTTGTTGTTGATTTTTTCGATATTTCATCATCATCATTGTTGTAATCATTATTGCTGTTGTTGTTTTCTTTTGATTTTTTTGAATCTTTCGAATCACTATCATCATCATCTTGAATGACACGTCGTCGTCTTTTTTTGGTCGTCGGTGATTTTGAATCTTCGATATCGGACGATGAAGACAGTGAAGATGCTGCTGCTGAAGATGATGATGAAATTTTTAATCGTTTATTTTTCTTTTTCTTATGATCTTTTGGTGATTCTAAAATATCATCGCTATTGTTGTTGTTGTCAGCATCATCATCATCATTGATATCGGAAATTTCTACTTCACTATCAGATTGTTTAATTATTTTACGTTTTTTAACAATCTTTTTTTTGTTCGAATTCTTTACATTGTTTTTATCATCATCATCATCATTGGAATCATCATCATCACTGTGAACATTTTTCTTCTGTCGATTCGATGTTGATCGATTTTTGGTACCATTCTTTTTCGATTTTGAAGATCTATGATTATCGTCTTGTTCATCATGATCAGAAACACTTTTATTATCATCGAAACTTGCCGAATCTTCGTCATCGTCATCAGATTTTTTAAATGAAACATCACTTTCATCATCATCATCATCATTATAATTATTATTATGGCCAGATAATTCACGTTCATCACGTAAACGTAACATTTCTTCCGAATCCATTGTTAAATTTGGATGTTTTTCAATTTCTTCAAGTCCTTCATTAAAATTTTTCATCTTACGTGGAATGCCTAATTGATGTTTATATTGATGATATGGATAGATATCTTTTGACGATAATACAGCACTGATTTTTGTTTTTAAAAAAATTATTAATTCTCATTATGTTGAATCGATCAGAATGAAACTTACAGCTCATAGGTACCGAAAAAGAATACGGGATAACGTCCAGGATGTGGTTTAAAACCGATAGGAAAATCTTTTTCAATCTTTGAAAGAAATGAAAATGATTATTTATATTTGATTTTAAAAAATTAATATTTCAAAAATTAAAAATTACCCGAGCCGGCCAAGGTGGATAGCCTTTAATTTTGGCAAATACAAGATCGCCAACAGAATAATTACGTACGGGTTTTGGTGGCATTCTATATATTTTTCGTGCTAGATGTTTTGGGTTTTTTTTTGGTTCCGATAGATCTTTAGGCTGCCAATACAAAACTTACTCAAAAAAATTGATTGTAAGGACCGAACGAATCAGCAGCAGCAATAACAACAACAACGAACCAAAGAAAGTAGAGGTATAGTGTTGATGTTATGAAATTTAATTTTAGTAGAATTTGGTTTTTTTTTGTTTGGAACCCAAAAACCACCATCAAATAAACGGTTATTTTTTGGGTTCTATATACGAAAATATGATTGCGGATACAAATTTGAGAATTTCAAGCTTTTTTTGTAAAATTGAGCTTGCGAATTATATTTTGAAAGACCAGAATTTTTTTCGTTCAAATTATTAGCGGATCAGATATTGATAATTGATCGATCGATAAACAATTCTTCAAATGATAATCTATTTCGATTCATTATAAAAACAGGCCAGCGAATTTCATCGTTGTCGCAGTCGTCGTCTAATTCTACCTCATCGATCTTTGTTTTTGTTGAATGTTTTTTCAACCACAAGATGGTTGGATCGAAATGGATGAAGAATTGAATTTTTAATAAATTTTTTTTCTTTTGTTTCAATAAGATTATTTCTTTTCTTTTGGATGAAATTTTTTCCATTTTAATCCTGAAAACTTTAATTAAATAAAATTATTTTCAATGTTATTATTGAAAAAACATACACATGCCATTTGAATGTCCAAAAACTATCCCCAAAAAAAATTGAAAATATAGTTCAAAATTTTCCAAACATTTTCGTTCCTGATACCGGAAATCATTGTCACAATCGATTAGCCATGATCAATTCGATCACTAAGAAAAACCTTGAAAATCGAATTCATTTTGAAATTTGGAAGGTTGAATTTTTTTTCTCTTTATCTCACATTATTCTTAATTGTTTTCCGATGCATCAAATATTTCAACAACAAAAAAAAATGTTTCATCGTCATGGCCAAAAAACAATATAATTAAAATCTGAAATTTACTTTTGAATTTCGAAATAATTAAAAAAGAACATTATCGAATAATTGGAATATATAAAAAAAACATTCGAATCTATTTTGATATCAGTACGTGGTGAAATGGTAGAAATAGACATCAAAATTTTCTGAAAATTGTCAAATGAAAATGAATAAAATTAAAAATTTCGCACTTGTTGCAACAATTCATTTGTTTTTTATTATTTTGAATTTATAATTTTGGATTTCAAAAAAAGAAAAGAAACATCAATGCCATCAATTGATTGTTTTTTCTCGGGGTTTTTTTCTTCTTTCAAAAAAAAAAATTCCCTATAAAATCTACCACTAGCTACAATTTTCTCTTTCCCTGTTCATATGCACCGTGTTAGAATAACTAGCAGCATTAAGCAATAAAATAGGACCAACAAACAAACAAAAAGCATCAAAAAAAATTTTCTCCCCAATTCATTCATTCATTCATTTCATTTGTTTAAATGCTTACCACCACTTATATCACAATCCATAAACGAATGAATGAAAAAAAGAAGGAAAAAAAAACTCAAATCAAATACAAAACATTCATTCATTCAATCAATTTTTATTTTGCATCCACAAAGAAAAAAAGTTTTTGTTTTGAAAATTCCCTAACCAATCCAATAATAATAACAACAACAACAACGAAGACGTGAAAAAATTCAAAACATTCGATTTGTTATGCAATCGCGATTAATCGATTTTGTTTTTATAAATTATCGATATTTTATGATGATGATTATTGAGGATGTTTTTAATTTAAATTGATTTGTAACTAACCAACAAATCATCATCATCATNCAAACATTTTCGTTCCTGATACCGGAAATCATTGTCACAATCGATTAGCCATGATCAATTTGATCACTAAGAAAAACCTTGAAAATCTAATTCATTTCGAAATTTGGAAGGTTGAATTTTTTTCTCTTTATCTCACACATTATTCTTAATTGTTTTCCGATGCATCAAATATTTCAACAACAAAAAAAATGTTTCATCGTCATGGCCAAAAAAAACAATATAATTAAAATCTAAAATTTATTTTTGAATTTCGAAATAATTAAAATAACATTATCGAATAATTGGAATATTAAAAAAAAACATTCGAATCTATTTTGATATCAGTACGTGGTGAAATGGTGGAAATAGACATCTAAAGTTTCAGAAAATTGTCAAATGAAAATGAATAAAATTAAAAATTTCGCACTTGTTGCAGCAATTCATTTGTTTTTTATTAGTATTTTGAATTTATAATTTTGGATTTCAAAAAAAAAACATCAATGCCATCAATTGATTGTTTTTTTCTCGGGGTTTTTTTCTTTTTTCAAAAGCAAATAGAAAAAAAAATTCCCAAAAAAATCTACCACTAGCCACAATTTTTTCTCTCCCTGTTCATATGCACCGTGTTAGAATAACTAACAGCATATAACAATGCTATAGGACCAACAAACAAACAAAAAGCATCAAAAAAAAATTTTCTCCCCAATTCATTCATTCATTCATTCATTTCATTTGTTTAAATGCTTACCACCACTTATATCACCAATCCATAAACGAATGAAAAGAAGAAGAAGAAGGAAAAAAAAAACTCAAATCAAATACAAAACATTCATTCATTCAATCAATTTTATTTTGTGCATCCACAAAAAAAAAGTTTTTGTTTTGAAAATTCCCTAACCAATCCAATAATAATAACAACAACAACGACGACGTGAAAAAATTCAAAACATTCGATTTGTTATGCAATCGCGATTAATCGATTTTGTTTTTATAAATTATCGATATTTATTGATGATTATTGAGGATGTTTTTAATTTAAATTGATTTGTAACTAACCAACAAATCATCATCATCATTATCAACAAAAATCAATTTCAATTTCCGTTCATGTTTGCTATTTTAAATAAAGTTTTTGAAATCGAATTTTTTACCTTGAAACAATTTCACCATTTGCATAAATCTCTTCATGCTTAGCAATCCTTTTCATTAGTTTTGCTTTGTCGCCTGCCAAGTGTCATCATCATCATCATTTAAGTTTGACAGTGATTTTTTTCATTTCATTTACTCCCTTCAACCATATCATCCGTTGTTGTTGTTGTTGTTGGCAACGAAATATCATCTCAACATTGAAGAAATAAACACCCCAATGTCATTATAACATCACCATCATCAACTAATCATTGATTTGATTTGTCATCTTTATTCTTTGATTCATTTTTTTTGGATTTTAACCTCAAACACACCATGGCTTCCTTTGTTGATTTTTTTAGTAAATCGAAAAAAGTAGGCAATTATAAAAATGTAGGAATCATTTTTTTAATGAAAAGAAATGAGAATTTTTTTCATGTTTAAAAATAAATAATCTTACCTTATGTGTGTTATCTTTTTTTTCACAAATTTTACTTATTAATTTTCCTAATTTATTTCCCATTATTTTTTGTAACAAATCGGATCAATCAAACACTAATCGATTTTATTTCTTTTTTTTCCTTCCAATAAATGTCGGAATTTTCATCTTCAATTCGCGAATGATAAATAAAAAACACAATCACCACCACAGACATTTAGACCGAAGAAAAAATTCGAACCCGGAACATTAAGATATTCATTACATAAACAAGCAATTGCTAGTCTTAATTCGGGTATTAATCTTCGTGAGGTTGTTAAACTACCACAAGGTAAGTTTTGTTCAATTTATTTATCCATTTTTTAAAAATCGATTATGATGCGCAATAATGTTTTACCGGAGAGAGAGAGAACGGGATTTTTTTTTAATTGAAAAAATTTTTATCAATCAAAACCAAATAAGATAATCTAATACAAACACAGGCAAAGATTCGTCTTTTGATCAGATGATGATCGATTAGTTGCATATTCATTTGAGAAAAAAAATCCTTCTTATTTCCTTTCTTAATCGATATGTTCAATTTAGAGAAAGTCATTTTTTTTCTTGCTGGTTATTGTTTTGTTTTGCTGTTGTTGTCTGGTTGAGGAATTTTAATTTTCCAGAAAATAAAAATCTAAATTTAGTCAATAAAAAAAATATCCCTTTTCGAAAAAGAAATATACTTAAAATTCAATTAGGTTCTATTTTTTTGCCAGTCGTCTACAACCAGCAAACAAACAAACATTTTGATTTGACCTCATTGATCTTCAAACGAATAAACCCGTTGGTACCAAACAATATCATCATCTATTTAGGATTGGTACTTTGTTGTTGAAGGAAAATAAAAATAATGAAACAATTTCCATTTCTGTCTTAATTCACACAAACATGATCCATTTTTCCAAATTTTATTCACACAGTGGCTAGCCACACGATTTTGTTTTTATTCAATGAAACATGATAATCATTAATAAGGTCACTTTTTTTTCTGGCCATTTCAAATAAATAAACACATTTTTGGAAATGATAATATTCAAAAAATGAATTTTCTTCGTGTCCATGTTCTTATTATCAATGATGATGATGATTTTGTGTATTTGATAGCTTTTTATGGTCAAAAAATGTATTCAGTTGTTGTTTTGACTTCCAAGATGATCAATAATGATGTATGACTTTTGGATCATCATAGAATTTGAATGAATGAATGATGGATGGATGGATGGATGGATGTATGGATTGATTTATTGAATTGAAGGATGTCACGAAAATCATCATCATCACAAGGTGTAGGTGTGAGGCCAGCTCGATCATTCATGTAAATTTCTCAATATTGCACCCAAATTTGTGTGTGTGTATGTGATGTGTAATGTTGCTATTTTAAATTTTGATTTTTGATCGATTGATTGGATTTTTATTATTTTTACTTATTGAATAAAAACCAATTATTCATTTTTTTCGAAATGATTGATTATTTTTCTCTTAATTAATCATCAATGATCGATGAATTCAATTGCTTTTTTTTGTTTGCTTCTTTAAATGAAAAAAAAACAATGGTAATCAAATAACACAGGTAGTTTTTTTTTGGATTCACCAATTTCGAATCTATCTGATGTTTTTTGATATGCAAAATCTATGCCACACAATTTGAAAATGGCCCACAAAAAAAAATATTCATCATCATCATTATTATTATTTGTTCATGGATTTGTTTATTGTTTTGCTTGATACAGTTTTGTTGTTGTTGTTTTTTTTTGGATCAGGTTCGTCATCGAGAGAAAGAGATTATGCAATTTTGTTTTTGATGAACACAAAAAAACTTCTTTTTGAACATAATAATCATCAACGTTGAATGAAAATGAATGAATATCATGATATTTTTTCCATTTCATTTCACCACGAAATGAATTGTTGAAGAAAAAAAATGTTGTTTCATTGTTCCAAAATGAAAAATACTATCTTGGAACCTTTTTTTTTGTTGTTGTTAATGTGTTATGACACATGTGTGCAACACACGCAGAAGCAGTTGATAAATTGTCAATTGATCCATTTGAATATCAGTGTTGTTGTTGTTATTGTTGTTTCATCATCTGAATAAATTTCTGCCATTGACATCAAGTTCATCATCATCATTTTCAACTTGAAATCTTTATGAAATGAATGAAATTCAATTTGTTTAAAGCGAACAAAATGGCCACAAAAATTGTTGATGATGAATTGTGATATGTTATTGTAGAGAAGGAAAACATTCACACAGATGTTTATCACACAATGTAGCCAGTCAAATTGAATTTCCGGATTAGATTTTTGCTTGCTTTTCCAACATGTGATATTTCTTTTTATCAATCAAATTTCCCCTCTTCGTTTGGAATCAAATTTCAATTTCCTTTTTTTTCTTGTTGCTGTGTTTTGTATTCATTGTTGACTTTTGATTTTTATCGCAATGAAAAATGTCAGGATGTTAATTTACGAACTAAAACTAAACTAATGTTTTTTTTCTATTGATTAAAATTATAGGCGAAGATCTATGCGATTGGATAGCCGTACATGTTGTTGATTTTTTTAATCGTATCAACCTTATTTATGGTATTGTAACCGATTATTGTACGGATGAATCATGTCCACGTATGTCCGGTGGTCATAAATATGAATATCTTTGGGCTGATGGTGTTAATTATAAAAAACCTGTACCATTACCGGCAAATAAATATATTTCATTATTAATGGATTGGATTGAAACACAAATCAATAATGAATCATTATTTCCAACCAAAAGTGATGTACCATTTCCGAAAACATTTTTGCCAACATGTAAAAAAATTCTTGCCCGTTTATTTCGTGTATTCGTACATGTTTATATACATCATTTTGATCGTCTAATGGCGGTTGGTGCTGAAGCTCATTGTAATACATGTTATAAACATTTTTATTATTTTGTCAAAGAATTTGATCTTGTCAATGCTAAAGAATTTGAACCATTGGTAAGTTGTTATTATTTTTTTATACTTTCAAAATTAATAAATACATTAATCTCGAATCATATTTAGGCTGACATGACAAGAAGATTATGCGATACAAGTCGTGGATTACAGATTAATTTGACTAGCTGTGGTGGTAGTAGTAATAATGGTGATTACGGATCGTCACATCATAATCATCATCATCATCAACAACATCATCATAATAATAATAATGATAAACATCATCATCATAGTAACAGTAGTAGTAATATTCATAATAATAATAATGATAAAAATGCTGGATGACGCCCACGCACATTCGAACACTTATTTTATTCGCCCATTTTGTAATTTTTCCATCAAGAAAAATAACGCATTCGTCCATACCATTCTCCCGATGATGACTATGTAATGGTCATATGTTAATGATAATGTTGGTTTTTTTCCTTCCAATCTATTTTTTTAACATTAATAGTTGTAATTTGTATAAAATATTTTTTTCCAACTAAATACGAATAATGATAATCATACATTGTACGCACATTTACACACGAACAGAAATTATTACTCCATTGATTTTATTGATTTTTTTTATCGATTTTTAATTAAATTATTTTTTTGGATTGTCATTATGGAAAATTTGTAAAAAAAATTTTATTTATCGTTGATGAACAAAGAGCAGCAGTATCGAGTTTATTTAAAATTTTCAATTTATCTTGTTTTAAATCAACCTTCTAAAAGATCATTGGCAGGATTATCACCATCAATATAATGAATTCCTTCGATTATATTTGCTTGAATCAATTCATTTCGAATGAATTGTATCAAATGATCCAGGCCATCAATCAATACGACAACTGCAATCACACCGATCGGTATAAGTAATTGATTAAATCGATTAAGCTAGTTTTATTTTTGGAGCAAATAATAATCATTAATCAACAAAAAAAATGTCATGCACATTCGATAAACATACCTTTTCCAATCGATGCTGTAATACTGGAAATGTTTCCATTTGACCAAGTGCTCGCAGCATAAATTGATGAATTGGAATATCGAATAAATCATAAATGGATCGACAAATCCACCAAGGTGCACTCAATGGATACAATGGATCATATGATGATGCTAATGAATAATTATGTACGGCCATAATTTTAAATCTATAAATTAAAAAATAATTCTTTTTTCTCAAAAAAAAAAAAATTTGATTTTGTCACAATCGATTATCGATTGATTTTTAACCAAATCTTTCGAACATTGTTGTTGATTGATTGATTGCATAAATGAAATAACAAACAACGAAAGAAATTATTTATTTATTCAAAAATTTTTCATTAAATTTTCTTTTTTCTGTTTTATTTTAAAATTTTCTTTGTTTCACATGTTCAATAATTAATAGTAGCATTGGTGTGGGTGTGTGGATAATGAATTTTTGTTTTCGTGTAAAAAAACCTGGAATTTCACTCTTGCATTAGTAGTTTGGTGGTTCAAAGATTTTGGTATTTGTAAGGTGAATGATGCTAATATCTTCTATATTAGTTGAGGGAAAAATATTAAAACAAATTTAGAATTATCAAATCAGGAGGTTTAATTGCTTTTTTCAAAAAAAAATTGATTGAATATGTGGAATTGTCAAAAATCAAAGGAAATATAGATAATCAATTACAAATTAGCATGGGATGTTTGTTTGTGTTTTGTTTTAAATCGATGATGATGATGATGATAATAAAAATGACCAAAATATTTTTTTAAAATTCAAACAGTTTAATGATATTAAATGTCTTAGAAATTTCATTTTGATTTTAAGATTTCGAAATTGATCAATCAAATGATGATGACACATTGATTACATTATGGCACAATTTTGATTATTTTCCACATTATTCTGAAAATACAAAAAAAAAACAAAATTAATTTTCAAATGGGAAAAAATATTGAAAAGAAATACCTCATTGTTAAGATAACCCGTTCGTTGAAATGAAGATGTAATTCGTTTTTCAGTTTTACGTGATGCAACTTCCTATAAATAAATTGATAAATTCTTTGAAAAATTCTTCAATTCGAAAAAAAATCAAACATACCTCATTATTATTGTTAAACAATGTTGTTGACATTGTATCGGCAGTAAACCATGTTTGTGATTTCATTACAATATCTGTTGGTGGATTATGTATCTGTGTACCGGCATCCGAACTCCATATTGTTATTGTTGATTGTGGTTTAATAACAACTGAACGATGAAATTTATAACGTGTTTCAAGATCATCTGCTCGTCGTAATAGATACCAACCACTTAGTGATATTTCTTTATCGCTTTTATTGAAAAGTCGAACATATTTTCCTTCAACATCATGATCAGATATTTCTACTTCACCTTTAGCTGTTGCATTTACAACCCAATCAATAATAGATTCTTGCTCTTGTAATGCAATTCGTTTACGTTTAGTACCACGCGGGATAAATGAACGAGATGATGATGAACTAATCGCTTGTGATGATGAACCAAAAATTCCACCACCACCACTACCGCTACCTGCACTACTTAATGATATATTCAATCGTGTTTCTTCCCCTTCCAATAATTTTCGATACACTTCTAATTCGGCATCCAATTTGATTTTATCATCCAACAAATCATTATAATCATCGGTAATTCGTTGTAATTCACGTCGAATCTCATCAATTTCTTTTTCTTTTTCATTCATTTTAATCCTATTCCAATCACGCTCTTGTGACAACAATTTGTTCATATCTTCCAAACGTTTTTTCATCGATGAATTTTCGCTTTTCAATGTTTCCAATTCACTATCGAACATTGTGTATGATGAATTCAATTGTTTAATCTTATTGGCAGCAGAATTTAATTCGGAATTCTTTTTCGCCATCTCTTCCTGTAACATTGCGATACGTGACTCATATCGTTCTTCAAGATCTTGACGATTAAGGCGAATCATATCGTCCATATTTGCACGTAATTCATCCAATTCATATTTCAATCGTTCTTCATATTGTGCTTTCAATTCTTCAGTGTGTACTTCTTTCGATTCGTATGTTTTTCGTCGAACCTCTTCCATTTCATTTTGGAATAGCTGTCGTTGAAAGGCTAATTCTTCATTCAAACTTTGATTACGATTCTCTAAATCAACACGTAATATTGTTTCCTCTTCCAATTGTTTCTGTATACTTTTCAATCGTCCTTCAAGATTTTTATTCTCTTCGGTCAATGTTCGCAATTCATTTTCCAAACGTTTACGTTCAGATAATGCTTGTGCAATTTTACTTTTCAAATCTTCAATCTGTATTTCCAATGCTTGATTACGTTTTTCTAATCCATTAGCTTCGTTCATTTTTTTCGCAAGTCTGACCCAATCAAATAAACATTGATTAATTTAACTTTTTTCGATTGAATTAAAAAAACTACTTACTTTGCTTCGGCTATTTTCAATTCTTCACGTAAACGACTCAATTCCAATTCTAGTTGCGCTTTTTCTTTGGCAATCGAATCCAATGTTTGTCGTGTATCATGTAATTCTCCTTCATACATTGTTTTAATCGTATGAATTTCACGACTTTCCATCGATTTCTGTATCTGTATTCGAAGTTTTGAATTTTCTGTTTCCAATGAACGAACACGTTCAATATAGGCAGCAAGACGATCATTTAGATTTTGTAATTCAGTTTTTTCCTGTATCCGTGATAATCGTCCAGGTGATACCGGACGTGTTGGTGTTTGTGATCGTCGTAATGGTGTACCGGCACGTGTTGAACTAGCTGTAGTTGTTGATGATTGACCAGTACCAGATATTTCAATTGAGGTAGTCGGCATTGTTGTTGATTGTTGTTGTGATGATGATACTGTTGATGTGTTGGTAGAAGTTTTTTTCGATTTAGTAGCCATGTTTGGATGTTATGTTTATTGTCGTTGTTTTTTTGGTGAAAAAAAAGCTGATTAAAATCGATTGATGAAACTAGTCGTATTCCAAATTTCGTAATTTGAAATCAATTAAAAAAAATACTGAAGAAGTAATGCTCTTTTCAATTAAATTCAATTGATTGGTCTCGTGCGATCGTTTATTATCAATATTATTATTATCACTGAAAAGTGCCAACAAGCGAAACACTGAAAGGCAAACACAAGGCAGCTAGAAAAAATGGTGATAAGGTCAAACCCTATTATGAACAAAATTAAGAAAAAAAAGGTCGATCAAGAGATGAAAGTTTAAACATACCACACCAAAGAAAAAAGCGGGCAATTTAGCAACACCAATGCTATTCTTTTGGTTTTCAACTTTCACATCAATATACACACTCACACCACGCTAGCTTTTACAATATATTTGCGCTTGCTGTATGGTGTGGCTGTTGTGGTGGTGGTGGTCGACGTTTTGAATCCACAGTTTGGCAAACATCAATGCAAAAAAATGATGTTAAATAACAATGGTTTGAAGAAAAAAAACCAGCGTGGTTTTGATCAACGATGATGATAATTATTGTTTGCAATAAGAAAGTAGTAGTGGTAGCCGGTATATGGATGTTTTTTTTTTGGATGAATAACGATAATAAAGATGATGGCGGGAACCTTGGGTGGATTCTCTTTTTATGATTTTTCTTTATTTATGACACAAAAATGAATGAATGAATGATATGATCAAAAGATGAAGATAGGAAATTTGCGAAATGTGATAAGAGTAAGAACAACAATGATCACGATTATTATTGAAATACAAATATAAAAATAACAATGTTATAAAACCACAAAATTGAAAAAAAAAATTTTAGCCAACAAAAAAAAATTGACGTCAAGAATTGTGTGACAAACAACAGGCACACACACACACAACACTATAATTCAATTCTTTTTAAAATAAATAAATTATCCACTTAGTTTGAAACAGATCGATTGAATTGAATTGAAAGAAAACCTGATTTCTATTAACAGACAATCTATAATAGAGATAACCTTGTCTGATTGAATCTATCAATCAATTAATTTCTGATTGAATTCTATATATCGTAACAACAGATGCAAACCAAAATACAAACACACACACACACACACAGGTAAATTGTTTTGTAAATGGTCGTCAAGAATAACTTTTTTTTTCTTTTTGTTTTTCTCTTTTTTGATTCATTCATTTATCACGAATATTTGGTTTTCACTTTCAAAAACACACACACAAACACTCAAGTTGTTGCAACCACAACCAATTATTAATCGAATACTTTTGATATATCATTTGCCGGGAGATATTCATAAACATAATGATGATCCATAGAATTCTCCTCATCACATTAATCAATACCACTACCTAATTATATATATGGATGTGGGTGGATATTTAGAAGAAGAAGAATTCAACGGCAAAAGCAATAGCAACAATCACTAAAGTCTGTTGCATTCATGCATGTACATTGATTTTTGAAAATGAAATCACACCTTTTCTGATTTTTTTTTTTGTTAATTCTTATTTTGGATAAATGATGTCACTACAATCTATATATTAGTAATAATTTATCGTTACCTTTCCTGTAAATTTAAATTTTTAAAAAAATGTTCATTTCCCATTTTGTAATTTGTAATAATTTTTACGTTTCAATTATCATCACATGAATTAATGAATGAATTGTAATCAAAATTGAAAATTTCAATTCTTGTTTTTCTATCAATAATAACCATAATTACTATTCGTTACAATCATTATAGAAATAATTCAATTCTTTTTGTTTGTTTGTTTGATTTAATGATTGTCAAACGAATGAATGAATTATTATATAATTGTTGTTGTAAAAATGATTTTGTTTTAGTGCAATCAAATCTAATCGAACCGAATCGATGATTTATTGTTTTTGTGGCATAAAATCATTCATTCATCACATTTTATCATTAGTGATGTACTTGTCGTCATCCAACTTTTTGTTTTTTGTTTGTTAGCGTTATTCGATATGAAACGAATCAAATTTATTGTAGGTATACGTCATATTAGAGATGTTTTTTATTTTTATTTTGGCTGTATTCAAATAATATCAAATTGTATAAAAATGAATGACAAAACAATCATTTCGATCAATCAATTCATGATTGATCAAGTGTTTGATGTGTTTTGATTTATCAGTTTTTCAATACAACAAAAAAAACAATGAATCTTAATGAATCTTCACAGCAACAACAACAACAACAACAAACATCGATCTTATGGCGTAATCTTTCTTATAATTATCATAATCCATTAGGATTAAATAATAATAATAATAATAATGAAAAATCTTCAATTTTACAATGTTTAAATGGTCATCTTTGTTATCAAACATTAAATGGATTACTTGGTCCAAGTGGTTCGGGTAAAACAACTTTATTAAAATGTTTATCCGGTCGTATAAAATCCGGTCTAAATGTTCATACAGAAATCTATTTGAATTCAACAGAATCAAAACGTTTAACAACAACAATACGTTTTATCGAACAAAATGATAAAAATGTTTATGGCCATATGACTGTTCGACAGATATTATCGTATGCATTTCATTTTAAAAATAATCAATCACATCTTTATGATATTGATTCACATATATCGATTATAATGAATGATTTATTATTGGATGAAACAACCATTCTTGATCGTAGATTTGAACAATGTTCAGGTGGTGAACAACATCGTATTATTATTGCACAGGAATTAATGTCATTAAAACAACCAACATTTTTATTTATCGATGAACCAACTACCGGTTTGGATAGTAATTCTGCATTATTATTAATGAAATGTTTATGGCGTTTAAGTCAACATAATCGTATGACAATATTTGTTTCGATTCATTCACCAAATTCAGATATTATGAAATTGTTTGATAAGATTTATATTCTGGCTAAAGATGGTGTTTGTATCTATTCTGATTCACCAAAATGTTTGGATGAAAAAATTGGTCAACAATTAAATCATGATGATGATGATAATCGATTGAAAAAATCATCATCATCAATTGAACAAATCATTCGAATTGCCTGTAATAATAAAAATCATCCATTGATACAAAAATGGACAAAATTAACATTGGAAAATGAAAATGAACAATTTAATCAAATTATGATGGCTAAAAATACTGACGTTGATAATCGATTAAAATTTCAACCAAAAGGAATTCTAATCGGACAAAAATGTTTTCATTTCAAAGATCTTTACATACAATTACGACGAATATTTAATATTCAATTCATGATTGAATGGCGTAATCTTATGTCTATAATGTTATTCTATATGATTGTATTTCCATTTATAGCATCATTTTTTGATGAAAAAATTGTACAATCATATACAAATTGTCATATGGTTGATTATAAGGGAAAATTAAGAAATCAAACCTGTTATGAACGTTTAAATAATGAAATCAATACAAATGAATATATAATATATCTTTGGTATTGTCAATGTATATCAGGTTATTCAATAATGATTTTAAGTACAATATCAATTTCATCAATGTTGAAAATGTTTCGCAATGAACATCGTAATCGTAAGTATGCAAAAATTAATTTTTCATTTAACCAAAGAAAAAGAAGAATATCAAATTAAGTTCAAGTTTTTTTTCGTTTTGAATTAGATTGGTATCATTTTGGTGTATTATTCATAGCGATAACAATGATAACATTCATACATCTTGGTCTATTATCCTGGCTAATTGGTACGATGATCTATTTCAGTGTTAATCATAGTTATGTTGATCAATATCGTTTAAATTGGTATCGTATTATACATTTTATATCATTTATATGGTTAAATAATATTTATCTACAAAGTTTTGGACAATTATGGAGTGTTATATTTTTTTCTGATCAACAACAACAACAATCATCCGATAAAGAATTGGCTATTATTATTGGAATGTTTTTCTTTCAATCAACATTTTTATTCAATGGATTTATGATTGAAAATCCTAATCGATTATATTTAATGAAAATATTATCATATTTTTTACCAGTTAAAATTATTTCCAATGGTTTAATGTATTCATTTTATGGTATTGATCGTAATTGTTCAAAATTATCATCAATTGTTTTGGATGATTTTGATGTTCAAATTGATCATATTTATAGTGATATTTTAATCATACTGATACATTGTTTATTGGCACGTTCGCTTACCTATATGATAATGTTGATAAAATTTTTTGGTTTTAAAAATTTTTATTGGACAAAAAAATTTCAACCATTCAATGGTTATATTAATCCATTTGATAATGATGATGTTGATAATAATAACCGAGATGAAATGAAAATTGAAATGATAAAAATCAATTCGATAAATGATGAAAATCAAATCCAAACATTAAATAATCAAGATAATCATGAAAATATAATTATTGCATGGCGTTCAATTTATTTATTTACATCATCAAATACAATCTATGAAATACGTTCAATCAATAATTTCAATATTGATAATAATGAAATAATGAAAAAAAATTTCATATTAAAAAATCTAAATGGACAATTTCGATTCGGTACATTGAATGCAATAATGGGACCATCAGGTTCTGGAAAAACATCACTACTCAAAGTTTTGAATGGTCAATGGAAAAGACGTCTTTGTTATGAAAGTAAATTCTATTTAAATCGATTTAAATTGATTAAACGTTGTTTTCTTGAACAAGATATTTCTGGCCATCTTATGTCCGGTCTTACAGGTCGACAAACATTAATATATGCATCACGATTAAAAAATTTATTCGATTCAAAAAATATTGATCATGAAGCTATTGCTGATCGTATTCTTAATGAATTATTAATAGTAAAAATAGCCGATAAAATTGTACAAAAATGTTCAAATGGTGAACGTAAACGTTTAGCATTAGGTATAGAAATGACATCAATTATAATGCCGAATTTAATTTGTATTGATGAACCAACAAGTGGTTTAGATTCAAATTCAGCCGAAATTATCATCACTTGTTTACGTAGAATTGTACACGAACATAACATAACAATTATAGCATCTATTCATCAACCACAATCAGAAATTTTGGAAATTTTTAATGAAATATATGTTTTGGCTAAAAATGGTGTTTGTGTTTATTCCGGAAAACCCGATACAATCATCGAACATTTATCAAAGGTATTGAAAAATATTGATTTAAAATCAAATCAATATTATTCATCATCAATTGAAAAACTTATCAATTATTGTTCTGTAGAAACAACAACAGATTCGATTGTCGAAAAAATGGTCAATATTACTTGTGATAAAATTATTCAATCAAAACAATTTAAATTAATTAACGATAATGATGATCATGATGATGATGATGATATTTATTCAAATCGACAAAGATTTTCATTAAAATCATCATGGATATTATTACAACGTTATTGTCATAATCCAATGTTTAAATGGACAATAATTTTATCAATATTTCCAATCATATTGATAATATTATTACGTAATTTTTATCCGGCTAAAATTGCCAAACAAAATGGTTGTTTTAATTTTTTGGAAAATGATTTTAACTATACAATCTGTTATGATGATGATTGGAAAATGATAAACAAAGATCTAATGGATAATACACGTTATACAATTTATATAACATTCATATATTTAACATGGATATTAATACCGGCAAGTATATTATTTGCACAAGAAATGATATTATTTGATAATGAACATCGAAATGGTTGGTAGATTTTTGGTTTGGTTTCTTTTTTTATTTTCAAATTTTTTTATTTCATTAATTTTCATAGGTTGGTATAGTACTGGTTCATTTTATCTGATGAAATCAATTGCAGAATTTTTACCAATGTTTATAACAACATCGATATTTGTTTATGTTGCCGATATTTATGAATCAATTCATTCGGGAATATATTTTTGGATGTTATTATTATTTATATTTGGTTCATTAGCAATGCAAGGAATGGGTCATCTATTAGCTATTATAACAAATGGAAATTTTTTCGCTTTAATCACAATATTACCTGGTTGGATGACATTGCTGTTTTTATTATCAAATTTTGCAACACCAATTCAACGTTTAAATTATTATTATCAATTATTATCAAATCTATCACCATATCGTTTTGTAATGGAATCATTATTAATATTACAATATGGTTTTGGTCGTTGTCAATCTAAATATGAAATACAATTCGTTCTATATCGTATGGCTTTTGTTCATAATGATGATGATAATAATTATTATTATCAACATTTTTATTATTGTATTCAACAATTATTATTAAATATTTTTATTTATCGATTATTAGCTTTAATTATGTTGATTATACGTACCGAACCGTTTGATAATTATCGTCGTAAACGAATACGTCAACATTACAAATCATGATAAATGTCAAAATTATAAAAATTTGAATCTTTAAATCATATTTGTTTTATCTTTAATTTTAAAATCTAAATTATTGTTGTTGGCAACACACATTTGATTAAATCATTTCATTTTTTTCAAAAAAAAAAAATTCAACTCATGCGCATTATCATTGTTTTCAGCCTAATGTATAAAATAAATGTTCAAACAGAATACGCAGACTCAAAAAGAAAATTCCAAACCAAAATATAAACAAAAAAAATATCTGCCTGTACATTGCCGTATATATATTGCTCATCCAGAAAAAAAAATTTGATGCGCACTTTTATTTTCTTCCATTTGTTAAATGTTTGAGAAAAAAAAACAAACCCGGAAAATCGAAACAATTTCAGATTCTTTGGATCCATCAACAACAAGGTTTGTATATTTAAAAAATGAACATTATTTTGTTTTATCATGAACTTTGGAAATTTGTTTATTAATTGTTGCAAAAAAAATATGTCGATCGATGACTAATGCCAAATGGTAAAATGGTCAAATTTGTTCGAAAAGAGAAAAAGACAGGGAGAAAAAAACAATATATCGTCATACTATTTGATTGCCAATCATTAGATTCGAGGATAATAATGTAATGAAATTGTTGTTATCCTCGAAATCTCATGACTTCAAATGCTTGATGATGACTCATCGAGCTGCCAATCGAGATTTTTCTATCACTCTTTTTTTTCTCCCATTTCTCTTTCTCTTTTGATTTTTGTACTCAAAATTATTTGATTTTTTTGTTGGAAATTTCACCTCAGTATATAAACTGAATACAATTTTATTTTATTTAAAAACATTTCAATTTTGTTTATTTGTGTTTTTAGTGTTAAAACAACAACAACAAGGATGGCCGATTATATTTCATTAAAATCATCAGATAAATCTGATGTTGATCAATTGGATTCACCATCAATAATGACCGATAGCGGTAATCATGAATTTAATGATTTTAAAAGTTCAGAATCATTGGTTACATTTAACAAAACCAAAATGATTTATTCATTCAATGATGAATTGTGGGCACATTTTTCCGTATTTTTGTCATCATATAAAATGTCTGATGAGGATCATGTTGGTATTTGTCGATTGCCCGACGATACTTTTATTGTTTCAAAATTAATTCGTGACTGTGAAGTGGATGCTGAACTGGAAAATTTGGATGATATCGGTCTTTTGGACGATGATAAAATTATTGCTAAAAAAACTTGTTTCAATCCAAAAGATTTACAAATGGATAATAATAAGAAGCCAGTATATTTTCAATTCTGCTATCAAAATGTTAATGGTGATATATTGGGTAAATCTACACCATTCCAGATTAAAGATTTGGCCGAAATGCAAAGTTCATCAATGTCACCACCGCAAATGATTGAAAGTACAGCCACTACAAGTGGTGTTGATCGTCCAGATGAAGAGGATTTCATTGTGGTAAGTTTTTTTTTGAAATTTGATTTCGAAAAAAATGAGTTTAACATTAATTTTTTTCTTATCAGGTTCGATCACAAGAAAGTTTTCTCAAAGAAAGAATCGAGCATTTGACCAAATCAAACAATTTACTTCAATATCTTATCCGTAATATGGAAAAAGATATTGTTGACAAAGAAAATGAAAACAAAGAATTGAATTTGCGATTAAATTCGACCGTAGAAGAATTGCAAAAAATCAAAAAAGCACATGCTAATTCGGTGGAAGAATTAGAATATATTAGCCATCAAAGAGTTGATCTTGATACTGCTAAATCACAATTGGAGGAAACATTAAGAACTGAACGAGAACTTCGACGAAGATTGGAAAAAGAATTATCCGAGATGCAAATCACATATAAAGACTATGATAAAGATTTGAAAGAATCACGTGAAAATGTCGATCAATTGCAGGCAATTTTGTTGCAGAAAGAGGATGACATTTCATTAGCACAAGATATGGTAGCCAATCTTCGTAAAGCAAACACTGAATTGCTTACTAAAGTAAATTCGTTGGAAGATGATCTGGAAAGTACCAAATCAACTTTGGCCAAAACATTGGATGAACGACGTGCATTGATGGATGAACGTTCGAATTGGCAAACATCAATGAAAACATATGATGAATCGAAAAATTATCTTATACAACGTGTTGAAGAATTGGAAAAAAATCGCGAAAAACAATCAGCAGAGATTAAATCATTGGAAGAAGAATTACGTCAATCGATTTCGAATCTAAAAAATATCAATTCCAAATCTGAAAAAGAGCAATCATATAATCAGAAAAAAGAACAAGATCTGATTATAAAGATTGATAAACTTAATGCTGATTACATTGAAATGCGTGCTCGTTTAGAACAAGCAAAAGTTGAATATGGTAATTTGTTTGTGAAATATCAAAATTTACAAAAGAAACATGAACATGTTAGTTCAAAACGAGATAAATCCAGTACAATGTACCCAAAATTACCATCAAGCGATTCATTTCGTAGTAATTCTTTTTCTAATGCTGATAACCTGGTCATTATTGATGATCCAGTTGATCGTATTCTCAACGAAATGGATTCGGCTGCCCAAAATCTGGTCAATACGACTGCAAATGTGCCATCATTTGAAGAGGTTAATGAAATTCCAATACAATCATCATCTGCCGAACAACAAACAATGGTAAAAACATTGGCTACCGAACCATCGGCACCACAGCAACAAAATCGACCACAACAAAAGGATAATGATGATAATGATTCAATTCGTGTACGAAGCATTATCGATATGCCATGTACAATGTGTGAAGAGGTGATTCGATGTAAACAAACCGATGAAAGTGGACAAATGAAAGAAATGATTGAACATTTTGAAAATGTACACAAACAAAAAATGTGTCCAGTTTGTTCGGTATTGTTCGATACACGATTATCGATATTTAAATCATATTTTTCAACACATTTACAGAATCATTTCAATCAGATGAAATATCCATCCACATCATCATCATCAAAATGATCAACGAATGTGACCCCGATTAAAATTAATGATGACAATATTGTTTCGATTTAATATTTATATAGTGAGATGATTTGTTTTTTCCCTTTCATTACATTTGATTGGTTATTTTGTCTTGTCTTTTCTTTTCTTTATAATGACTTTATCTATTAAAAATCAATGAAAATAAATCGTACCATTTAATTACATTTTGGAAAAAAATATTTTAAAACAATTTATTTATAAAAAAAATAGAGGAAAAAATGAGCAGATAATGTATCCGTGTGAATGATGTTAATGTTAAATCAACAAATCAGGTTAATTAATAAAAATGATAAAACAGACAATTTGTTTTAAAAACAACAACATTAATAATGACAAAGTATGGTATGTACAGGCGATGTGTTAATCACTTTGAGCTTTTTACAATATTTGTGTTTCGGTTATTGATATCAGACGATAAAAGAAAAGAAATCAGCTTGTCATATCATTATTGTTTTCTTCATCAACTTCTTTTATATCATCAGCTGATTCGGATACTTTTCTTGATCTTGGTTCGGCTATTGGTAGTTTATCTTTCCAATATTGATAATTAATATTCATATTTTCAATCATTTCGGTAAAATTTCCAAATGCTTTGAGTTTTGAAAATTTCGAAGACAAATTAGATGAAAGTAAAAAATTTAAATGTATAAAAAACATTGAAAAAAATACTTACAATGCCAAGCTTCAAACATATCGTTGGCAAAATAATCGATAAAACCAATTTGTGATTTTGGTATTGAACAATTTTTTCGATCAAATGTTGGCATTACAACTGGTAGGTGATTACGTTTTTCTTCTTCGGTCTAAATCAAACAAAACAAAAGTTTTAATAAAATGTCATGGACCTTATTATTTGATTACCTGATCACAATATTCGGATGCAATTCGATTGGCCCAAATTTCACATAATTTAGTCGGACGACCTGGATTGGAAACATCGGCACATTTAATTAACATACGTTTAATTAACACAATATTTTCTGGTGTAGCCAAATCTGATACAGTTGTTGTTGTAGAAATATTATCATCATCATCATCAACATCAATATTTTTATATTTGTCCAGATTAATTGTCAATTGTTCATCATCAACAATATTGAACGATTGAAATGTTCGAACAAATTTAGTTAAATGTTCAAAATGTTTGGTCATTTCGGTAGCCAAAACCATATCGATGATTGATTGACGACATTCACGATATGTTTCACGATCAAGATTTTTAAATATATTCACACGATCCGAATCTGGACCAAGAACTGTAAGTCTAAAAGCATATGCCGCATGATGACTTTCAAGGACCGAACTGTGTTTCAGTGAGAGAAATAAAAAACAAATTAAAATTGAATCAAATAAATCAATGTTATACAACAATACATACATGTCATTATATAATACAGCTAATTCATGATTTGAATTGGATAGAAAAGCACTATTCCTACCGGGATGATCGACATCATGAATGATTGCCGCAATCAAACAAATAGCCTGATCTAACGGGTCAAACAATGTTTTCAGTCGTTCAGACATTAGAAAATATGCTGTGGCTTGCATTACATCGGCTGCATGTGTTGAATTATGGTATGAATTTTTACGATATTTCGATTCTATTAATGAAAGCCAATTTTGTGCAACTGTACGGCTACAATTTAATGTCTGTAATACATTAAAACGATCGAATATAGAATTACCAAGCCATAATAATGGTCTGTAAAAAAAATGTTAAAGTTTGCAATAAATGAGAAAAGGAAATGAAAAAAAAAGAAAATATTAAAATTGATCACCAGTCATTATTATCCATTATCCATTGGAAAATGGTTAATTAATTATATTCTATATAATAATAATAATAATAGTAGTAATAGTAGTACCTATTTTCAGAAATTCTTTCCAATTCAATGACATTGAAATTCCATTTAAGATCATCTTCTAATAATTTCTGTATATTAGCCGGTACTATCATCGATAAACTTGATTGATGATGATGATGATGATGATGATAATGAAGATGACTTTGGCTTGAAGAATATGCTGGTGTTGACATTGTTTGTGTTAAATGATAGGAAGCATTATTTTTATTATGTGATGATGATATTGATGATGGTACATCATGTGACATTCGTCTTGTACCACTATTGCTTGGTTTATTCGCTGTCTATCAATTTATTATTGATAATAGAACATTGATTTTTTGTTAACAAAAAAGAAAAAAAAAATATTCCTACTTACATTCATTAAACTACTTATTAATTCCGATGTAACCTGATCTTCTGGTTTCATTTGATTTTGAAATTTATTGAATACTTCAGAATTTTTCAATATATCAATTGCTTTTTCTAATGTTGGCGCTAAAAATACTGGACCACTTTCTTTTATAGCCATTAAGATATTTATAACCTATTTTAAACAGTCAAATTAATAATGATAATGAAAGATGTGAACATTTTTAAAAAAAGTTTAATCGACCACAAAAAAAATAATAAAATTTTCAGGACCGTTACCTTGGTTATAGGAGCTTCAATCATTGAAACTGAATTGAATTTGGCTAAACTTGGTCGCCGAGCTGCAATATCAAAAAAAAATTCATAAAAATGCAATTTTTTTTTCGTTTACAAAAAAATTTGACGTTAATAATAATAATATATTTTTTTGTTGAAAAAAATGACATACCTTCTGAACGAACATCAATGGTTGACATTTTACGATATGCACTTCTTGCTGCAGCAGCCGTAGTAATCGTTGAATTTGGTGATGATGATGTTGCTAATGATCCATGACTTGTATGGAATTCTAATATTTGAAAATGAAAATTTTTTGATATATTTGAAATAATAATAGTAATCATATTTACCTCTTTCTGGACTCATTAGTTTATCAACAAAAAGGAATGGAAATTCTTTTATATAGATTATATATTCAGGAACACTATATTCGTTTATTATTGATAGAATTTTAATGAATAAAACAATTTTGCCAAAAAAAAGTTAATAATTATTTACCCTTTTCGATAATTAATTGGCATTATACGATTCCATATTGGTATACTTTCACCGGATTTTCTTCGATGATATATTTGTCCTTCCCATTCCTGTTATTGAGACACACAGGAAGGAAAATTCATTAGAAAACAGTTTTTTTCTTTTACTCAAGCAAAATTTAATTCAATTCAATTCAATTCAAGCAAAATGACAAAATTCCTATTCAATTCCTAACCTTTCCATCATTATAATTGTTAATTTTTTCATCAACTTCCATTTTGATTAAATCGTTTTGGAAAAAATCTTGTGTTTTCTGTCCGATCATATCATCGGCACGAAAACCAAACATTTTTTCAATCGAATGATTAACATATCGTATATCATGTGATGGACCAGTAATAACAACACCTTCTTTACAGGAATCGATTGCCATCATCATTGTTTGTGCGGCACGTAATTTCATTTGTAATTGTAATTCAAATTGACGTAATTGAATCAATTCATAATGATAATAACCGCAATCTTGTGAAAAGGTTTCCGGTATACACTATGTATATGTAGAAGAACGGTAATTTAATTATTTTGATTTAATAATATTTCGTGATAAACATACCCGATTGAAACCGGATTTATAAATGTCAATCAATTGTTGTTGTTGATCATTATAATAAAAATTTTTATTCATTAATGCTATGACTATTGTAAATTCATTGCCTTTTATATCACGAATCGATCTAGTTATCAATTACAACACAAGAACACAATGTAAAAATATTATATATTTTTTTTTTGAATTTAGCAAATAATATTGTAACGAAAAAAATAAACTTACCTGCATAAATTTAATGGATCGAAAATTGGCTGTTTTGTATTACCCGAAAATGATGATGATGATGATGATGATGAATCTTGTAAAAGAAATTTTGTTCTAGCCGAATTTTGACTATCAAAACGAACATGTCGTTGATGTGGTTGTTGTTGATAATGATGATCATGATGATGATGTTCAATTTGTTGATGAGAATTAGAATTCTCATGAGATCGGCTGTCAATTATAATTAGTTCATGTTGTTTTTCTTGATATAAATTCATAGCCGATTCTTTTGTATCAACTAGATCGATACAAGAAAAACCTGCCAAATTTCCAGCTTCAAATAACCATTTAGCATGATTATTATATTTATCATTAAAAACTAATAATAACTATAGGAAGAAATTAGAAAAAATTGATATTAGAAAGACCACACACATTTGGGAATAACATTGAATGAAGAAAAAAAATGACATCTTTATGTCATCTTTTGTCATTCACTCATTCAAAAGCATCAAAACAAACAAACAAACATTTTTTTACCTTTGGATTTTTCATTTCAATATTCATACGTCCAAATTGTATGAATGATTGATCAAACATTTTGGTTGCGATTGTCAATTGTTTATTATTATTATTATTATTCATTTTATTATTGATCATTTGATTTGCTAATGATGATGATTCATTATTGATAAAATCCGGAATATCTTGCTTGCTGCTGCTGTCGATTAAATTCTGTTTAGCGGACAATACTTGATCTGAATCCTTAGGAAAAATTGCGAAAAAAAAAATTAATTTTTTGTTTCAAATTTGAAAAAAATTAACAAAAAGAAATCAATCAACAAGATACAAGTGTGATTCTTTTTTTGATTGTTGTTGAAAAATATCTATTATAAACGTCTTGATCATCTAACCCCGAATGTTTGCTTTAATATTATAATTCCGATAATCGTGTTTTTTTTTTTGGTTATGATATTCACATTGTCAAATATATAGTCTGCAAAAAAAAAGATAATCTCCTTATCAATCAATCGATCGATCGATCGATTGATTGATCAATCCAACCATATTATTATTATTGTAAATATAAAAGGCTATTGTACGATGATGATATTGGGTGTTGTAGCGTGAAATTTATCTCAATTGTATTATCGATATCATCATCATCATTTAGATAAACACTGGCTATATGAGTTGGCTTTTTTTTGGGCTTATTAACCACCTGATGAAAATGGAGTAATTTGGCGCCGTGCTAATAGTGTTCCTGAACGAGAGAGAGAGAGAGAAGATAAGCCAGGCTGTAAAAGCCAACTAAATAATTGATATTATAATGATGATGATGTACGTAAATGATATACGATTAATTTGTTTGTTGTTGGTTAAGTGGATTTATTTAGTCGGTATATTGAAAAAAAATGAATCTAGTTTTAAAGAGCTTTAAAATTTTAAAAACCCTCATTATCATCATTATCATCATCATTATTGAACCAAGTCAAAGTTTATGGCGCCTAAACTCTACTAAATACTACATATGACAAAATTACGGCTAACTTAATTAATCGATCGATTAATTAATCAGTTAATCACATTGATTATCAACCATTACCAAAATATTATCGATCAAGAATTTTAAGAAAAAAATGAAATATCCAAAAATTAATTGATTGATTTATGGCCGACTTCTCAACCAATAAATCCAAATCCAATTCTTTTTAATATAAATTTTCTTATATTATGCTATTGGTGATTATCTGATCAACCCAAAAACATAAAAAGCCATAAAAAACCTTTTCTTTATTAGACATTGTAAAATAAAACTTGTTGTTGTTTGTTTGTGTAAAAAAAAACAAACTATAAATGAAACTATAAAAATGAAGTATCAAGTACTTTACTCTATTTAAATTAAAAAATACATGTATCGCACACACAAAAATATTATCACCTCTTTTATCATCAGCTTTTTTTTCGATTATTTATGGCATTTGTTATTGTTGTTGTTCATGGCATCCATCAATTGAACTTATGATGATTATCAAATGTAAATGTGTATTTGCGTGCGTGTGTACGAGTGCGTGTAGGTAGATAGGTAGATAGGTAAAACAATTTCAATCAAGTAACAGAAAAAAAAGGAAAAAAAAAGTAAGATTTCACAATTGAAAATATTGATCTTATTAGAGACAATAAGTCTTAAAAGATCTAGTTTGAAAAATGATTGTTATTTTTAGATTATGTTTTTCTTCTTGAATATTTCAATCAATTATTTATTCGTATTACCTATTTACTTTTTTTTACAATAAAATCAAATTACCTGAAAAAAATCAGATTATTGTCATCATCATAATCATCATTTTCTTTTCAAATAAGAATTGTTGAAATATCAAAATGTTTCCAAAAGTATAATGTGTATTCATTTCTTATTTATGATTTCTAATTGAATTTCTATGAGAGAGAAAAAGAAAAAGTAGAGATAATTTTTGCTTCTTCATCCAAAAAGAATTTTTCCTACTTTTTTTTCGTGTCATATGATAATACTAATTTGTTTTATGACAGACATCCAGAGAATAATTTTCTTACAAAAACAAGCGATAAGGAAGAAAAAAATTCTGTAAAGTTTTTTTCTGTTGGAATTTTTCTATACACTGATGATGAAAATCAAGAACATTCTGATGATGATGATGATGATTCGATTGACATGTCACACAATCAGCATACATACACACACACATTCTCATCATTAATGCCATCATCATCATTATTCGTTAAGAAAATCACTCAATCATTTCATCTTCTTCATTTTCTGTTATTATAAATAACAAATTCATTTCAAACACAAAACTTAGCCAAAATAACTAAAATTAACTTAACTCAGCAAAAAAAAATTGTAAATTGAATTCTTCTTCGTTTCTTTCTTTACAAGAAAATTTTGTTTTTTCTTCTTGATTATATATTTTTTTTATACGTAAAATAATTATTTTGCTTGAAGAAAAACGAAACGAAAAAGGGAACCAAAAAAAAAAAAAATTAATTCATCATCATGAATGGTTAATATATTCGAAATAGCCTGGCAAAACGAAAAAAAAAGATTTACGAAAAACATACGTCATCATTTTAAGCAATTTAGCAAGAAAAAAAAGAAGAAAAAAATCTATGGATGATGTACACACATTCTGTCTTCATCATCGTCGTCGGCATTGACAAAAAAAAATGTTTAACAAAAATATTCTCGTTAGCAGAAAAGAAAAAAATCAAATCAAAAGTCAAATACACGTGCTTGATCAAGATGAATATTATTATATGAATTTTTATCACTTCTTCTTCAGAAATGAAATGTTAATGAATAGCTAAAAGAAAAAGAAAAAAAATATTTATCAGATGATGACGTCTTGATTTTTTTATTTATTATTTGGATAATTAAAATTTGACAGTGAATTCGTTAAAAAAAGAAAGGTAAGATGATGTTTAATAAGAATCAAATCAAAACGAAAAAGAAGAAGAAAATCTTTTTTGCCAAAAAGAAAAAAATCCAAAATTATTTCTCTTATCATCTCACGATCATCATCTAAAAGTCAAATTTTTGTTTTTTTTTTGCACCGAAATTCACTCATATTTTTCTGTTTCGATGATTCTAGCCAATTTTATTTCAATTTTCTCTAATTGGCTTCAGGCATTCATTCATTCGTTGTTGTTGTTGGCCATTTATGTCATCAACATATCATCCATGGCCAAGAGAAAATCATTGGAAATTCATAATTTGAAAAGAAAAATTTCAAATGGAAAATTGATATTCAAAGATTTTGGGGAAAAAATATTGTCAAGGACAGTTACAAAAAATATTTTCCTTTTTACCCTCATCACCCTACCGTCCTTGATTAATTCAATGTTGGCTTCACTGCCAAAATTCATTGTATTTTGGTTTTTTTTGTTTGGTTTGGTTTCGGTTTTACGTGGTCATATCACTTACTGAACATTGTTGTTCCAATAAATTAGATGATGGTTGATCACGAAATGGTTCTAATCGTGCAATCGTTACTGATGTAGCTCGATCAAACGATGATGCTGAACCATATAGACAACAATATGGTTGATGATTTTGAAAAATATTCGCACGATTCGATGGAATTCGTTTTTGATGACGACAACAATAATGATTTTGTTGTTGTTGTTCATCATTATCATCCTGGTGATGTTGATTGTCATCAATATTTTGTTGTTGATTACTATCATCAATTTGGCTAGATCTTTTGATTCTTTTTTTCATCATTTGTTGTTGTTGTTGTTGTGCCTGTTCAGTATTATCTATTGTTGTTATTTTTGTTGAATAATCGGATTTTTCCTTATTACAAAGTTTACATTGAATAGTTGTTATTTGTGATGTTAATATATTTGCATCAATTTTTGATGATGTATCTGCATCATCCATATGATCATGACTACGACGATTATTTTTAGACATATTTTTAGTAACTTTTAATGTATTAACATTTGAAATTGTTTGATTTGTAGGTGATAAATGTTCCATACTACAGGTAATACATAAAGGTTGTGTAACAGATAATTCGGATTTTATTGAATGAAGACCGGTTAATGATGCCGATATAGATTTTAGATGAGCACTTTCAATTTTATCGGATATATTTTCTTCACGATTATGATGATGATGATGATGTTGTTTATCCGATGATGTTGTAGTTGATGATTCTGTTGAATCACTACATTGATTTCGGCAGAAATCAAAACGAATTGATTGAAATAGACCACAAGTATAATCCGTTTGTTGTTGTTGTTGATGTCGTGGATTATAATTATCGTCACTTAAATCCGAACAACTTGATGATAATGATGATGATCGTGATGGTGAAATATTTATCGTTTTATTCGATTGTTTTTTATACTTTTTTCGTCGCCGTTTTTTCAATGATAATCGAAATTTGGACGGACTATTATTTGATTTTGTTGTCGGTATCGATGATGATTGTATGTTGTTATTATTATTATTTTTGTTGTTGTTGTGGTGATCTAGTTTATTATTATTTTTATTTAAAATTTGTTGCCGAGTTATGTTTTTCGTTGTTGCTGTTGGTTGTTGTTGATCATCATCATCATCCGATTGATTATTATTATTATTATTATTGAAATTTGTAGCAGTGGAGGAATTGGTGGTGTTGGTGGTGGATGAGGCAGAGGTAAAAGTAGGAGCAGCAGCAGCAGCAACAGCAGAAGATGAAGAAGAAGCTTGGGTGCTTGGTGTACAACCCATTATATAAATTCCAATGGAATTTTGATTTTTTTTTTAATTTTTACTATTGACTTCCGGACATTTGTTTCGATTTCCTTTTTTTGTTTTCTGTTGTATTTTTCTGATGATAATCGATTGTCGATGATGATGATGATGGTTGATTGTTGCGGTATTCGTCGAATACAATCATTTAAAAAATGAAGTGAAATCTAATCACCTGGGTTTTTCAATAATTTTTTTTTTGACCGGGAGGTGAATGAAGAAGAAGAAGAAAAAATATTGATTATCGATTTTCGATATCGAAAATATTTTAATTTAAATCACATTTTTTTACACAAACGGACAAATTGGCGCCCAAAAAAACGACAACAAATTTTTTTTTTGTTTGCCATTCAATTCATCCAGGTATATCACACACGATGTGAATGGATTTTTTTTTCGGGAAAAAAACTAAATACAATTTTCAATGAAAACAGACACACAAACAGACACACACACATGGTTGACTAACACAACAACAACACTATACTGATCTCGATTATCAAACCAAAAGGAAACAGAAAAAAAATGAATCAACCAACCAACCAACCAACCATCCACTTGAACTAAAAAAATTAAGCAATATTTTTTTATTATTATTATATGTGTGTTGAGAATATCGAATCACAGTTTGTGCCCATGTGTGTGTGTGTGTTTGTGTCTATGGTGTGTATGCATGGATTCAATCGTTGATATAAAATGATGATGATGTTTAAATGATGATGATGATGATGATGATGATGGTAAGCAAGTAGAAATATTAGAAAAAAAACTAGCAAATTTTCTCTTGTCGTCGTCGTCATCATCATCATCAAAGTTGTCGTTGTTTTGTGTGTGTGTTTGTGTCAGGATTCCTTTTCATCATTACACAAAAACACACAGGTATCATATAATTGTAGTTGATATCAACAACAACAACAACGATTGCCTGCTATAGCGTTTTATTTATTGAAAAAAAAGGACAAAATCATCATATAGTAGAGATGCTATAGCTTCTATTTCTTTTTTTTATCGTCATCATTCTCATCATTATTTACTTACTAAGCTTATCCAATTTGTTCTCGATTTTTTTTTCGTTTGTTCGTTCAATATCTTTTTCATTTGTTCGTTCGTTCATTCATTCGTTTGTTTGTTCGTTATGTATTCTTGTTCAATTTTTTTTTCTTCTTCTTTTCAATTTTAATAATAAGCACCCATAGTTATTTTTGTTGTTGTTATCATTCAATTTCCTCTATTTTTTTGTTGTCTTGTTATTTGTTACACATTTGGTTATCCTTTCTATTCTTTTTATTCATCAAATAATTCTGTATGAGAAACGATAATGATGATGTTTTTTTTTGTGTGTTAACCTGTACATTGTTTTATATATATAGAGAAAGAGAAAGAGATAGAAGACAAATAAATTGTATAGAGAAACAATGGAATGGAATGGATTCTTTTGCTTTCGTTTTTAATATTCATCATTTTGACAAATTAAATCCAACATTGACACATCGTTTTCGTTGTTGTTGTTGCAACATTGACAGCCATCAGCCATCAACAACAACAGCAGTGGCAAACAACATTATACATATTCTAATCTAACATTTATTCATTTGTCGCATTTGTCAATGTTAATTTGGATATATAAAAACAATATATACACACACACACAGACTATATTTTGTTTAGTTTTCAATTAAATTTTGTACATTCTTTTTTTTTTATTCGTTCGTTCGTTCATCAAACAAGTCAAACGACAACGATGAAGGGCATCCTATTCGCATTTATGATTATTGAATTAAATGTACGTTTTTTTTGTTGTTGTTGTCGTTTTCTTGAACTTCAAAATAGACCGGTATCATTTGATGATGATGATGATGATGAAAAATGATGAAAGATTTAAGATTTAACTTTTACCAAAGTATATAAATTGAAAGTGAAAATGAGAAGAGAGAGAGAAAAAAAGATTCTTTTTTCTTCTTCTTCTTTGAATTTGGGGAATGACAGATTGATTGCAAGAATGACACTGGAATAACATAAAGAAGATGATGAAAAACATAAATGATTAGAATCGATTAATGTTGATGATATTCATGTTCATGGACGTACACATTATACATTTTGGTATATTTGTTGATATGGACATTCAATTTAAAGAAAAATGAAATGACGTTTATTTTCTTCTTCTTCATTTTCATTTTCTGTTGAAAATAATGAAAAATTCATGCTTAAACTACACACAAACTTACCTGGAGCATAACATGTTTATCTCGATGTCAATGTTGTTGTTGTTGTTGTTGAGATGGAAATTTTCGTTTATTATTTCATTTAAAATCATCATTCGAGCAAAAAAAAAAATTGTTGACAATAATTTTTTCTTTTCTGATTTCTTAATCATTCATCATAATTTAATTCAAGTTTGTAGCATCCGGAAGGCTTATTGAGGAAAATTGATGAATCTTTCTTCTCTTTCTTTCTCTATTTCACTGAAATTTCCAATTCAATCGACATAAAATAGACAGCAGAACAAAAAAAATTCAAAATCGATAGGAAAAAAAATCATCAATTTGATTATAATTGAATTAAGTTGAATTGAAGAAGTAAAAAAACAAATTTAAATTTAAATTCAAAAAAAAAGTAATTTTGATAACTTTTTTTATTTTGATTCTGTAATTTGAATATTGCTACAAATTGAATGAATATTTATTCCATTGTGAAGAAAACAATTCATTCAAGTACAAGGAAAGGATCTCTATCATCATCTCTATTATCATTTGATTGTTTGGAGCTTTATCAAATTGAAAATCTATATTTGTTCAGATGTCATTGTCATCATCAACAACAAACAACAACAGTAATTTATTTTGGCTTGTTTGTTTGTTTGTTTGATATATTTTGCTATTATTATTATTTTTGTTTGAAATGTCACCGATAAATTGGAAAAATTTTAATTTCTTTTCATTATAATGATGATGATGATGAAATTGACAGGAATGGAAAAAAACATCTTTGATGTAATGGTGGTTACATAATCTTTTATCAATTAATTTGATATCGGTTTATGGATCGTTCAATAGATTTATTTTGTATGTGTGTGTGTGTGTGTGTGTGTGTGATGAACTACAAACAAGAAATTTCTATTTTATTTAGATCTTGACTGATGTTGAATTTAAATTCTATTAACAAATCATCTCTTCCCAAATCCTTATATGTTTATCATGATTTTGTTGGTTAAAGCACGCAAGTGTTGTTCAAAAAAAAATCAATATTGAATTTCGCATTTTTGTTCTAAATTCTTGGTCTTAAATGAAAATTCTTGTTTTGTTTTATTTGTCAAAAAAAAATTCTTATCAATCTTAAACATTCGATCAATCGATCGCTTAGATTGATTGATCGATCAACGATATTTTGTTTGGTTGATTGATTTTATCAGTGAATGATAGAATTTTTTTTATATTCATTCATTTCAAATTCAATACGTATTTGTGTTTATCATAAATATACGCACCAATATGACATTAACCATCATCAACTTATGTGTACGTTGTTGATGTGGTTTGACGTAAGAGATTTTTCTTTTTCTTTTTTAAAGAAAAGATGAAAACGAAAAAAAATTTGTAATTCAGAAAAAAAAAATCATTTGCAATTAATAACTGATATAACGAATGATTGGATGAACATCATCATCATCATCATCAAACGAACAAACAAACAAATTCACTTTTGGAAGAGAAAAAGAGAAAAAAATCAGACACTGAATTGAACATGTGATTCTTTGAATCAAGGTTAGCATCTTTTTTTGCTTTTAAATAAGAATCATCATGATTGATTTTATTTGAATTGATTTGACGTGGAAAAATTTTTGTTTAAACTTTTTTTCAAAAAAACGAAAACTTAAATCATAAAGAATCGAATCATTTTTTTGTTTGTTGTTGTTGTTGGGATTCTATGTTTTGAATTATCAAACGAGCCAACAAATTCAAATTGAAATTCGAATGAAAGCCACCTGAGAATGAAGAATAATAACAACAACAACAAAAAAACAAAAAAAAAACAAAATGAATCAGGAATGACATGTGCGTTTGCGTTTGATTTATACTATATATAAAAAAAAAAAATTTTCTCGCCAATTTATTGATTGATTGTTTTTCAATCGATCGATCGATCGATCGATCCGAATTTGTTGTTGTAAATAGATTTTTTTTTTCACTCTCTTGTTATTTATCATAATAACAACAACGACAAAAAAAATAATGATGATGATCATCCCATATATTACATACATACATACACATTATTATTAACCAAGCCATTTAACTTTTTTTTCGCGAAATTATTATTATTGTTGTTTTTGTTGTTGAAGTGACTTTTTTTTCACTCTATATATACAGTCTGCCATATTTCTGTTTCTTGGTTTTTTGACATTTGTTGTTGTTGTTGTTGTTCACAATTTGATTTTTACGTATCATTTCGAATGAAAAAAAAAATCATCATCATCATCCGAAATCCTTAATGACAAATAATAATAATAATAATAAAGCAGCAGCAAATAAATGAATGAGTTATGGCCCAAACAACAACCGGTAGTTGTCAAATGCAAGGCGCCTTTTGGCTTGATGATGATGCTGATTTGTCGTATATATTTTGTAGCTGAATTTTCAATTGATAAATGTTTTTGGTGTACAAATTTGTGTGTTTCCTTCAAGCTGATTTTTTTTGTTGATATCTAAACGTATATAAATCACACATAGACTAACACATTACGTTGCTGCTGATTTTTTTTCCTATTGTAATGTGATCTATCCTTTTTTTTCACTTCGAATGATGATGATGATGATGATAATGTAGATTTGGTTTCCACATAACAAACACTAATCAAAGTGTGAAAGAGTATTTTTTTTTTATTTTTGCCTGTCTTTTTTTATCAAACAAACAAAAAATTATATATAACTTTTCCATGGTTAATATCTATATATTTGTAGCAATAACAACAACAACAACGTTTGCCTGGATTTTTGAATCAAACCTTTATATCATTAAATGTAGAATATAGATTTGGACAATAAATACGTGAATTGTATGTTTAAATAACTTTTATGTATGAAATGAATGAATGCATGAATGAATGAATGGAAAAACACCTGGAGAAAAATAGATTTCAGAATAATTTGATTCTTATATAAAGTAGCAGCGGAAAAAAATTTTCTCATTAAAATCAAATACATTTTATTAAGAAATTTTTCGTTCAAAAATTCTGTATCTGTTATTTATTTATAAATTATAATATTATTTATTTATTTGGATTAATAATATATAGAGAGGTGTGTGTATTGTGTATTATGTGTTATGGTCTTTAAATTCATTGTCTCGGTGTGTGTGTGTGTGTGTGTACACAAATTAGACTCTTCTTATGTATATATCCTATTTAGTTTTATTTTAAATCAAAAAAAATGGAAACAGAAAAAATTCTTAAAATTCTTTATGGTAATTAGATGTTGAATGCATCAGTGTGTGTGTGTGTGTGTGTGTGTGTTTGTGTCTAGGTAGTTAAGAGGAAAAAAGCTAATATCTTTCAATGACAATTATTTGTTTTTTTTGAACAAAATAAAATTACTCTAGTGAATTGTATGTGTTTGTGTTTGTGTGCAAAATATACGTCCTGATAAAGTTTTTCATTTTTCAAAACAAAATTTAAAAAAAAAAGTTTTCATCAATTACTTGGCTGTATGAATGAATAAATGTTTTTATGGACGATTGTGTAATGTTTGTGTAGTTGTGGTGATATTTGAAAATAAATCATTATTATAATTTAGTTTACATTCTAGATAGAAGCCTATCGATAGCCGCTTCAACATTACCAAATGTTTCAATCAATGCACGTAAATTTGCTTCACGATTAGTAAAACCCATTGCTTCTAATTGTAATAATTGTTGTTCATAACGATTTTCAGCTACTGCTGGTGCCGGTACTTGTAACATATGTTGCATCATTTGTGCTAATAAATTAGCATTCGGAATCGATGGATTTCCTGTAGCACTTGGTGTTGTTGTTGTTGTTCCGGTAGGATTAGCGATAGAAGAAGCAGTTGTTGTTGATGTAGATGTTGTCACTGCAGTTGTAGAGCTATTATTCGATGTTGATGATGATGTTGTCAACAAGGATGGATTATTAGAAAATAATTCCGAACTAGGAAAAAGAAATCAATTATTTTAAGAATTAAATACAATCATATTAGAATCATACATATTTGAAACGGGTACACCAAGAATTCGGATCAATTGTTCATAACCCCGTTGGATTTGTGTAAATGCCTTTCAAAAAAAAAACGAATTAATAACAATAAAAACATGAAGAATAAATTCATACCTGCATGGCTTGTGGATTATTCTGAATTCTTTGATACAAAGGATTCTGTGATAAACTAGAATTAGCCTGAACACTGGTTGCATTGGTTCCTGTGGTATTGTTTGCGCCTGTTGCTGCTGCTGCTGATGGCATGAATGGATTATTATGAAGAAGTTGTGGATTGTTCATCATGTTCTATATATCAGAAGAATTTGGTTAATAAAAATTATTATTAAAAAACAGTAATGTTATCGTACCTGCATCATATTTTGCATCATTGGGCTATTAACCAATGACTGTACCAATTGAGGATTCTCATTCATTTGTTGCATCATCTGTTGCATTGAGCCCGGTGCAAGCATATTGAATGGCAATCCACCGCCACCACCACCAACACCAAAAGCGGAATCTCGATTATCACCTGGAGCTGGTCTTGCAGGTGTTGAAGTATTTGATCGTTGCCATGGATTTGGTAATGGCTCACGATTCTCTGTATTACTTGGCGTTGTACTAGTTGTATTTGTCGATGATGATGTCGAATTTGCAGATGTAGTAGATACAAAAGGATTGTTGCCAAATTGTTCTTGAGCAGCGTTTATCATTGGCTCCTGTAATTCTGTATACATTCGCCGTAAGGCATTATAACCACCTGGTAGGCTTTCCAGATTGGACAGGGCACGATCATGTGATCGCATTAATTCTTGAAATGTAGCCGGATTACGCATCATTTCGAATGTTTGTCGTAATATATCCGGACTTGATAGTACATGATTAAGCTCAGGATTACGTTCGATCAATTGCTGGAATTGTGGATTACTCGATATGATTGAACGAAATATTTCCGGATTTGAATAAAGATTTTGCATCAATGGTGATTCTAACATTTGACGCATGAATTCTGGATTATTCAATTGTTGCATCATTTGTTGATTTAAATCAAATGGTCCACCAGCACCAGCACCCATTGGTGGCATACCCGTTGGTAATCCACCACCAACATTGTTATTATTATTATTATTGTTTGCACCGGGTGGACCAAGAAACATATTGAATAATGATGACATTGGTGGTGCAGCTGGATTTGTTGTTGTCGTCGGCTCTGTTGATGCTCGTGTAGCCGTCGATGATGTTGTTGCATTTGAAGTGGATGTACCACTCGAACTATTGGATGTTTTGACCTGATGAAATTTAAAAAAGATTGAAAAATAAAATATATTTCAAACAAACAGTAACTTACATCTCGTATGACCAAATGAACAATGTAACCATCTTTCATTTCTATGGATTTTTGGAAGAATTCATTAAAACTTTAGAAAACAAAATAATTTCGAAAAAACTTACTATGATTTTCTAATGTATCACCATCTTTAAGAATTTTTCCAGAAAATATTAGACATACTTTATGTGGTTCAACTTTATAACGTTCGGATACCATTTGACGTAAATCTTTAACACTTGCATTATTTGCCAATTGAAATTGTTCCCGTTCTTTTGATGTTTTTACAATAATATTAATCATCTCTTTTAATTCGGATGGTGTTGATGATGATGATGATGACGATTGTTGTTGGCTTTTTTCACCAGAATCATTTGGTGATTCCGATGTTGATGGTTTTGGTGTTGAATTATTCTCCGACATTATTGGAATCTTTTCAATATGATCACAATGAAGTTAAAAAACAAACAAAAACAGCTTAAATATGGTGATGATATTTGAATGGATCAATGTATTGATAGATGAAAAAACTATAACGAAAAATATTTTAAAAATTAAAAAAAAATTAATACAAACAGCTGTTTGAAATGATAAATTTTTGTTTGAAAATCAAAATTAAAAAAAAAACTTGAATTTCTACTAATTTCAATCAATTTGCTTCTGCTGATCAATATTGCTGAATCATTTGGGGAAAAAAACTCGATGTAACATGACAGCACATTTAGAACATACACACAGTGAGAGAATGAATGTAAAAAAAAGGGAGAGACATTCACAACACAAACACAGTTATTCTTTTCATTGAATATTGATTTTTTTTCGATTCAATAATCCTGTCATCGATTGATCATGATCATCATATTGAATTGAGGGTCAATATTTAAAGAAGAAGAAAAAAATCATTCAATTGATTAAATTACCTGAAATATAATATTTGAAAGCCAAATTTTTTTTTTTAATATTTTGAAATCGATCAGCCGGTTTCTTTTGGAAAAAGAATGAATTGCGTTTTTTTTCACTTTCTTTTTTTCTTTCTTTCTCTCATGTAATGATTACTCACAATATTAAATAGTGAAAAAAAAACGAAAGAAACTTTTATTTTAAGTATGACGTGTGTACCAAACACAACCAACCAATCACACAGAAATAGAGGCAGAGAGAAACAGGAGAAAGTGTTTTTTAACTCTTCACCTTTCATATAGGACGTATGTTTCAGAATTTACATTTGACATTCGAATTTTTTTTGTTTTTTGGTGAAATTCGATAATTCCAAAATTCTTAAAAACATTAACAAAGTAATTTTCCTTTTTAAAAGAAAAAAAAATCTCTTTTTTTAATTACAGTTTTGATCAATGGTTTTTATTTATTTTTTTTCAATTTTATAAAACAAACAGCATTGTTTCGTTTTTTTAAAATCTTTTGTCGTTATCCGTCACTGTTATTTTGGTGATAAGTTTTAAACAAGTGATGAATTTTTTGTTTTTTTTTCAAATAAAAAGGCAATAAAACAAGAAAGAATTTTGGCATTATGCATAGAATCAGTGTGTGCGTGTGTGTGCTGAGGTATGTAGCAGAAAAAAGTTTCAAATTCCCAACAAAATATCACTATAATTTTGAAATGGAATAAAAAACTACTTGGCTGTTATTATAATGTTTTTTATAATTGATGTGGTGGAAAATGTCGAAGAAAAAACAAAACAAAAAATTCAAAGTGTCAAAATAATGTGTGTCTGTTACAAAATATCCAAGATAAGTGTGTGTGTTGTCATTATGTTGAATGGTGAAAATTTGGAGAAAAAATTCAATAATTTTTTATTTTGAGTGATATAATAATGAATAATGGTGTGGCAGATATAAAGAAAAAAGAGAAGAGTGATTTTGGCCCAGGTTAATAACAGAAAAAAATATCAGAATTGGCTGATCATTCAAATTCATCAGTATCATCATAATTTGATGAACTAGTTGATGCTTGTCTTGCTTTACTTGCAATACCTAATATTTTTCTTGATTTTGGTTTATCTTCAAATGAATTTAAATGTCTATTTAATGATTGATGTTGTTGTTGTTGTTTTTGTTCTAATTCACGTGCTTCTAACATTGAACTTTTATTTGTAATAACAATAGGTAAATTAATATGTAAATCAATATTATGTGGTATATCTAATGTAACATGTACAAAATATTTTATTGTTATTATTGTTGATTTCATTGTTAATTGAGCTCTTGTTGGTATTGGTATTTCAATTATATCTTCAATTACTTCGGTTGGATCAACTTCACTACCATTAATTGGATCGACTAATACAATTTCCAATGTACGATGACGATCACCAGACATAAATATTTGTGTTTGATATAATGCAGCACGTGGTTGTACTTTTAATGTTGATGTATTATTGATCAAAGTTTTTAATTTGATTGTTTCACCTTGTTTTTTTGAAAAAATTGATAAATAATAATTATAAGTTACACAAACAAATAGCTTACCTGCAACATGTCCTTTTCGTGAAATTATAGCTTCAATTGAAACCGAACCAGAACCAAAACAAAATAATCCTAAATCTTTTTCCGAACTACCACTTACAGAAAGCTGGTTTTTTTTGTATTGAATCAAAAATGAGAGAGAAAAAAATAATTAGTTAATAATTGACCGGGAAAAAATGAAAAGATTTAATCCTAAAAAAATATAATAAGTTACAAATAATAATAATAAAGTGTTTCGAAATCAAATCATTTTTATAATCAGCAAACAAACAAACAGTTCAATAACCGCTGTTGTTATTTTGTTTTTGACAAAAAAAAAGAAAAATTTTTCACCAGAAATACACTTACCATTAAACTTTTTCGTACAGGATTTTCCAATTTAATTTCAACACCATAACGATGTCCTAATTCACCTTCTTTATCGATTATACATTCAACAAAATAATTAATACAACCATAACGTCCATCAAATGATGGTGGTGATTCACTGTATAAATTGATTGAATGAAAATGTTTTACTAAATGAAAAAAAATTCACTTATAACTTACCTATCATTTGGTAATCGAAAACGAAATGGTATTTCATGACGACCACTACGAAGTATTTGTGAGCTAACTATAATCATTTGAATCAATCAATTTAATTAAAAAAAAGATTTCAACAGGCAAATTGACTTACCGGCACGTGGTAATTCATAAAATTCTTCTAATAATTTTTTTTGATCAAATGTATCATCAGCATTACGTATTTTTGACATACAAACAATACCGATTCTTAATTTGGATAAATGTAATTCACCTTGAAATGATATACGTAATTTACCATGTACCATTTCATCCATTTCATATATTTTACGATCACGATCCAAAAATATTTCAACATCTTTGATAATTAGATTACGATTCATAATTGATTCATTCAATTTTTTTGTTTTGTTTTTGTTCGTTTGATTAGAAAAAGATTTTTTTTTAATAACTTGTTTGATATCGTAATTGATTTTGTTGTTGTTGTTAAATGTGTAGAATATAAAAAGTAAAAGAAAGTAAATTCTTCGAGGCAAAAAAAAGGTTGTTTGTTGATCGATATCTGCTTCTAGGAATTTATTGATTTAAAGAAATGTTGTTTTCATTCACAATGTAAACACAAACACAAACAATCACAGACAATCCATATTACAAATGATGATCAATCCATCCATTCTATAAATCGAAAACAAAAAAAAACAAAATTCAAGTTTTTTGTTTGTTTTTACCAGAATGTGAAACAGAGAGAAAAAAAATTACAATTTTTGTATTTTCGAGGCGTAGTATACTCTGGTTTTATTATTTTGTCTTTGTTAATAATGATGGTGGTGGTGGTGATGATGATGGTGATGGTGATGATAGCGGTGAATGAAGTAAACAAATACGGGTAGAACGAAAAAATAAATTTCCCGTTAATGAGTAAAATGAAAGTTTCAAAATGATTTATTTTTTCTGTTGAAATATAGTTCTCTCTATGTCTTTTCTATAGGTAGATAAATATTTTCGCCTAATAAATTGCCCGAAAAAAATAACAGAAACAAAAACACAAAACGAAAAAAACAATCAGATCAAATCGATAGAATTGAATTGCCTGGATACACGCAATTTATAAATTTTCAGTTTTGATAAATGAAAAATGTTGTTGAAATAATAATGATTATTCTTTGGGTATGAAAATTAATCAGATTCATTAGTAAGTTGGTTGGTTGGCTGGCGTTTTGTTCCTGTATATGTTTGTTTGTTTGTATGATTGTTTGCTTACTTTGCATTGGTGAAACACAAAACCTGGATAGTTCGGTTTTTTTCTTTGCTGGAAAATGTCTATCGAAATTTAACTTGAATGAAAAATGTTCATACAAATTTAGGTAATGTGTGTGTGTGTGTGTGCTGTATCCAGTAGGCAATAATCATAATGATTTCTGTTGGAAATGGGCGTATGACTTCGTGTGTGTGTGTTTGGGTTTCCAATCGACGCCGAAAAGTAAATTTGATAAAATGATGATGAAAGAAATGAGAAATTCAAGAATCGTACAATTGGAAATAAACTAATAATGGAGATAGAGAGAAAGAAAAAGAGAGAGAGGAAATAAAAATGTTGTTGTCTCTTTCTTTTTATCTCAAACACACAAAATGAAGAAAAAGCCATAGTGGAACGTTCCAACAACAACAGCAACAGAATACAAAAGCAGCAATTTTGATCAGTTCAAAGGACTGTGTCCCATGTACAATAATCATTGCGTATACGCATATATTACCGACAAAACCGAACAAAACAAAACCAGAATAGAGAATCCAAGTGAATTTTTCTTTTTCTTTTTCTGGAATCAGAGAGGCTTTTAAACTCACCCGAATGGAAACGAAAACGAAAAACAGAATCCAAATTTCTATTGATTTGGCTGTTGGCTGGATCTTCATTCTTGTTTGTTTACAGAATTTTTTTTTTTTGTTGAAATTTTCAATATTTCCTTATGATGTATATACTTTTATTCATGGATTCTTTCAATAACAACAACAACAACAACGACAACATATAAAAATGGAAAACAACAAAAAGATTTTTGCTTGTTTGTTTGTTTGTTTGTTTTGAATAATTCAATAATACAAACTAACATAAAATGGATGAATATTTTTTTCTTTTTTGAAAAATAATTTATGAACATGCGTAGATGTGTTTTTGTGTGTAAAATATATTTTACTTATAAAGTTTTTATTATAATAATAATAAATGAAAGGCAAACGACCATAAAACATTTTATGTCTGTCTTTATTCTTCTGATGGAAAAAGAGTCTTCCATATTAATATTTTGTTTTTTATGATGATGATGATGATGATGATGAAATTGAAGAACCCAAAACCCAAAAACCAAAATTCTGATCTCTTGATACCTTATGGTGTGTGATCCTGTATATGGTATTGTAAAATTTTTCATTTATATTAATGAAAATTCTTGTCAAGGTTGATTTGTTTTCTTTTTCTGATTCGTATTTCTATCATTGCAAATGATGAATAAATTGATTGAATTTTTTTCCTGTTCATTTCAATTCATTTTATGTGTTATGTCAATCATAAGATTGAAAATATATAAAATAAAAAAAAAATATTGAAATAAAAAAAAATCAAGAATTGACATTATCAGGAGGAGAGAGAGAGAAAAAAAATAAAAATCAATCAATCGAAACACCACCAAAGACTGCCAAAAAAAATCAATCTTTTTTTCTGATTAGATTTTTTTTTTTTGTTCACTTTCGTTCTCCTGTGTATCCAAACTATTCCGATGTTGCGCACATAATGGACAACCATATTTCAGTGATAAAAATATGGATCTTGATCTTGATGGTATAAAATATTGTCAATCATCATTCAACCAACTGAACGACAGACCGACCAATAATTGGAAATCAATAACTCTTTCACATTCTCACATTCTCTATGTTATTATTATTATTATGTAAAAAAAACAACTAAATATTCAATATGTGTTTATCACCACTAACATCACATAAAACAAAACAGCAACAACACAAAAACTTTTCCAATTCGATAATAAAATTCTAGCTAGAAAAAAGATAAAGATGAACAGTACTAACATGTTTCGGTTTTGTCGTTTTTGTTGTTTATTTCCGAATTGATCAACTACACTAATATAATTTTTATGTACTGAGAAATGTAAACAAACTTACACACATACACACACAGAATAAATTCTTTGGAAAGACCAATTTATCTAAAAGATTTTTATTTATTTTTTTATATAGCCAATAATGTTTTTATCAATGTAATGTGTTTTTGTTGATTACAAAGCGCACACACATCATTGATATTAACATTTTCTTTTTATAACGATTAACAATGACATCCAATAGACTATGATCATCATCATTACATATATGCGATGGCTAAATATGATTAACTAAAAAAACCATGATATCAAATGGATATCAGATGCTAAAAAAAATACAGCAAAATCGATCGACTAGATCGGAATAGAAAATGAAATTGGAAAAAAAAGTTTTTTTTTGTTTGATTCTCTTTATTTCCGATGCAATGACTTGTAATACCAGAGAGAAACTTTTCTTTAGAGAGAATATTCTTTAATTCAAACAAATCTTTTGTTTTTTCTTCAATCCATAATTGGATTCTTACAAATAAAGAAAATGATAAAAAAGAATCCAAATGGATGTCTAAAATATATAGTCGAGTATTAGTATTCGTAATCAATTATTTAAAGATTTTTAAATAATGTTGATTCTTCCAATGTTTTTCTTCATTCTATTTGTATATTCTTGAGAACTTTCTTTGTCATAAGATTTCCATTTTATAAAATTTGAATTCTGACCTTGAATTTTGAATTTATTATACATGTAGGTTGTCTTAAATATAACGTTTTCTATAGAAAATCCTAATAATACAATCATTAATTGATTCATTAAGGAAAATTTTGACAAAGTAAAAATGATGTTCCAAACACTGTAACTAAACTAACGTGACTAGAACAAAAAGAAAAATGCAGTCAGTAAATCTCTTTTTTTTCTCTAGATACAAAAAGCAGATAGGCAACAAAAAACAACAAGAAAAAACTTTTCCCAAATAAAAAAAAAAGATAAATGAAAAGATTTTTGGTTAATGTTAGTTTGGTTATTATTTTCAATCAACCAACCAACCAACCAACCAACCACCCACCCGATAGGAAACATATTCTGGCTTATATAAAAGCTTTTTTTTTGTTTTTGATTAAGATAAAAAGCGAGGAACGGAAAGAAATATGATTGATACAAAATAATATCGTATTAGTTAGTAGATTCTTTCTATTTATGAACCAAAAATTGTGATTACAATGGCATTTATTTCCAATGTTGTTGATGATGATGATGATGATGATAATAATAATGGCATCGTAACATTATATTCTTTTCTGACAAGGTGATGAATAGAATAATTCCCTGTGTGTGCGTGTGTGTATTTTTTGATTAACCCATTACCAGACCAAATAATTTTTTTGTTCCAGTGTTTATCAACTGTTTCTTTGGTCAAATTCTTTTTGGGTTTCCTTGTCGTTGTTTCACACTTTTGAGAAGAAAATTTTTTTTTAAATGAAATATTCAACGAGTTAAACATATATGAATAAGATTCGTTTTCTTTTTATTTTGTCATTTCAAGAAGAAAAAAACATCATTAATAAATCATTAACATTATTATCATCATCATTGACAACATCATCATCTTTAAATTGAAGTTTATTCAGAACCAAAAAAAAAAAACAAACAAGCAAAAAACTTTTTTGTTGGAATTACAAAGCAGGAAAAAAAAGAAGTTTTTTCCTGTCTTTTTTTTTGCCCTCAGATGTGATTACGTAAGCAATAATTTTGTTTCTTTTTTTAAGGAACAAATGAGATTCACAATGATGAACTCATTGAAATGAATTTTGGAATAGAATCAGCAATATTTATCAAAAGAATCATATATGAACGAACAAATCGTTTTCTCATTCAAGCGGAGAACAACAGTTCCAACAGAGAGAAACACCAAAAAACAAACGGTTGGAAAACATTGAAAAATCTTTTTTATGTTTATCTATTTAACAAATACGGTAAATAGTTTTTTTTTTGTTGTTTTGTTTGATAGTCAAACAAAATAGCCAAAGAAAAAAAAATAATTTCAGGAATGGTAAAATGCGAAACAGATAGAAACGGAACTATATCGCTGTCCAGAATTGTTGTTGTTTAGTTTTGTAAAAGTATTGTTCATTTATTTCAATTTTCAACAAACAAACAAAAAAAATCATTTGTCCATGAACAAATCCAGAAACCTATACCTGTTTGCCATTTTCAAAATTTTTTTTTTCACTTGAAATGATAATGTTGCTATGTTGGTTGGTATATGATGGACATTATTATGCCAAACAAAAATATTAAGAGAAGAACAGAAAAATTATCATATGCAAAAAAAAACTTCAAATAAAAAGTTTGTTAAAATAAATTATATATAAAAAAAACTACAGAGATAATTTTATGTATGCGAAAATGTTGAAGAATGTGCAACCAGAAACGATACAAATTATAATTTATTCCGGTTTTTTTTCTTTCCAAAACTTACGGAAAAATAACAACAACAACAACAACTGTAAATCTTTTCTCAATGTTACAGCACAATAATATGATTGACTCGCCCAAACTTTAACATTAAAACTGAAAATAAAAAAAACTGAAAATGAAAAATAAAAATTGAACGTCAACCGAATTTTACTTCACAGTCGATTGGGTCAAATACAGTTGTTGTTGTCAATATTTTGCAATTTTTTTTCTGACAAACATAAGATTGACAAGAATTTTTTTCTGGTTTTGATTTTTTCGTTTCGTTTCGTTTAGTTTGTTTTTGACATGAACCAAATCCAAAAGAATTTAAAATGTTAATACCTGCCTATTTTTTTTGTTTTGTTTTGCCTCTCCACTTGATGATAAGAAACAGAATGTTGATACAATTTCATTTGCTTGTTTGTTTTATTCTTTTTTTTTGCGTGAACATCATTATTTTCTTATCGCTAAACTAAATTGAGTGCGCGCTAAATATTTTCAAAAAAAAAATTTACCAACAAATTGAACGCCATCTATCGATTTTCATTAAAATTTTTTGCCTATTTTTTTCAAATAAAAATGAAAATTCTTCAAATAAAAAAAGAACAACAAATTCTCATTATTTATTCATTTCATTCCAATTCTGGAATAATGTTATATTTTTCACATGTTCTATTTCTTCATGTACATTACATGTACATCTATTTATTAGTTTTTTCTTCTGAAACGAAACAAAAAAAAAGTCATCAATAATCGATGATCAACATATTGAACACGTTTCTTATGATCATTGATCGATTCATCTTATGATTTTCGAAATTAACATTTAACAAGCTGTTGTTTTTTTCAGAATATGTTCAATAAATTTTGTTTTTTTTTGCAGCTATAACAACAACAACAAACTTTTGGAATTATTATCGAAATTCAACGAAAAATAAAAAGGCAAAACTCAAGAACCGAAAAAAAAGTAGAAATTCAAGCAAGCGAAAAGATTTTCATATATATATCGAATGATATATGTAGAATATTCTGATCAGTGTGTTATTTTTTTCTCGAAATGATTTTATGATGTTTTTTGTTTTTCTCCCAATTATTTCCATCATTCGTTATTTAACTTTGCTCTTTTTTTTTCTCTCATTCTCATCATCATCATCATTAAAATGTTCAACCATTCGCATTTCTTTTTTGATTATATATAGTCGATATGAACTTAATGAATCATGATCATTATTTTATTAGAATATGATGATGATGATGATTATGAAACAAAAGACGCCTCTGTAGAAAATATTCCAAGAAAATTTTTTTTCTTCTTCTTTCCATTCGTTGATTAAAGCAAACATAATTAGCTTTCACTCATTCTCAATTAACAAGAACCGAACCAAAAGAGAGAGAGAAAAAATTTCATACCCAAAAAAACCAAAACCGAACAAAAACAATCCATCCATCAAAATGACGACGATGTTTTAACCATTGTTTATGAAATGTGTGTCGGTCGGTATGTGTCAAATGATTATTATCGATTATTTGCGTTCCGAAATATATATAGCAGAATAGTATAGCAGAATTCGGCTTGTTCATATAAGTGTATGTTTGTTCTGAATCACCAAAAGAAGAAAAAAAACCAAAAGGTGAGTCATAGCCCTTATGTAGAATCGATAAGAATTCTCAATTCTTTTTCGGAATGTGATACATGGAATGTATAACTATTTTTTTTTCGGTTCGGTTCGTTTGTTCTGTTAAAACATTTGCAACAAAAATAAAAATACCATCAAAGAAAATGCATCCATATATGCTTCTACTTTTCAAAAAGGTTTTCATACAACTATTAAAATATAATGCTTTTATTTTTCAAATTCCAAAATACGCATATATATTTTGTTTGGAGTGGGTGTGGGTGAAAATAGTGACAAAAATTTTTGCTGGTCCGGATAGAGTAAAAATATTGTGCTAAAAGTTACTTTTATTTTTATTTTTACTTTTTTTTTCGGGTTCCAAAATGTTTGCCCATTTGAAAATGATGCGCAGAACATCATGATCGGTTAACATTTTTTTTTTTTTTTTTGAAACATAAAAAGATATAGACGTGTGTGGGTTTCCTTTTTTTTATAACTGTGTCGCCTGTATACCAACAACAACAAC